TTTATTCAATTTATATCCCGCCTATCTAGTCGGTTAAGCTGGAGTGGAACGAGAGGAATGAGGTGCTCCCCTTGTCCAAGAGAGAGAAAGAGAGGGTCTGTTAAAAACAGAAAACGCGGAAAACAGAGGGGAGAGGAAGTGGCAGGGGGATCAGGCCCGCTGGTGCAGAGAGCTCCCAGAATCCTAGAATTGTGGAGTGGGGAAGGGGCCCAAAAGGCCATCCAGTCCAACCCGTTCCCTGCTCCAAACCCCAGCAGACCTGAGAAAGGATGGGCCAGTTTCCTCTTGAACGGCTCCAGGGTGAGAGCCCTCGCCCCCTCCCGAAGTCCGTAATTCTGTCGTTCAGTTCAGACGTTTTTCCTGAGATTCAGCCAAAATCTGGCTTCCTGCTGCTTCAAACCCACGGTGAGGTGTGACTACCCTTCCAGTCTTTGAAAAGCACTCTCCTGTCTCCCCTCCGTCTTCTTTTCTCGAGGCTAAACAGGCCCCGTTCTGGCCGTCTTTCCTCCTTCTAAGGCTTGGTTTCCAGCCCTCTCATCCTCCTGGTGGCCCTCCAGTTTGTCAGCCTCCTTCTTGAAGTGAGGTTGGACCCAGGACTCAAGAGGAGGCCCATCCCGTGCTGAATAGAGGGGAAGAACAGCACCCCACGGAAGTGCGAGACTCGGCTCCTCTTAATGCCTCCAAAGATCGCATGGGCCATTTTTGCAGCCACATCACCCTGTCTGCTCCTATTCAGAATTTGCTCTACAACCAGTCCCAAGATCCTTCTCACTCATGGCATGACTGAGCCCAGCATCCCTCCTCCCATCTTGTAACGGTCCCTTTGGGGCTTTTATTCAACCTCCCCCCCCCCGCCTTGCAGGTGTAGCTCTGGTGCTGTCTGACCGCTGTCCAACTGACTCCCTCCCTGTGTCTCTTCCCCCCCACCCCCAGTGTGTATTCCTGCGTGCAAGTCTCAAGGCTGCACCGCGGACGGACGGTGCTGCCACCCAGAGTGCCTGGGCAACTGCCTGGAGCCCAACGACCCGGCAAAGTGCGTGGCGTGCCGGAACTACATGCTGGACGGCCGGTGCCTGGAGACGTGCCCGCCCAACTACCTCCGCTTCCGCGGCTGGCGCTGCGTCACCTTCGAGTTCTGCCAGGAGCTTCACAACGCTTGCAAGACCGCCCGCGAGTCCGGCTGCCATGTCATCCACAATGGCGAGTGCGCTTCGGAGTGCCCCTCCGGGTACACCCTGAATTCCACCAAGTGAGTTGCAAAAAATCCGTATTTCTAAGGGTTTTCTCTCCCCCCCCACCCACAGGTTTTAATATTTTCTGACCATGGATAAGTGAAACCGTGGATACTGATCCTTCTGGGGTCTTATCGTGACTAGGTACTGCCAGCGCGGCCACAATCCTTTCTCAGGGTGGACGCTTTGCCTCCTGACTCAACCTGGCCTTTCAAAAACGGGTGTGTGTGTGACTGGATCCTAGAACCATGGAGTTGACAAAGGGGCCTCTAAGGCCATCGAGTCCAACCCCCCCCCTGCTCAAGGGAGGGACCCCCGTCCAAGCAGATCTGACTGGTGTGTGTGTGTGTCCATCCTATTTCTGCTTGAGTGGCTCCAGGGTCGGAGTGCTCAGCACTTTCTGAGGTCCCGTTGTTGTACTGCTCTAACAGTTAGGAAGTGATAGTTATGGGGCTCTGCCACGCACTTCGTTGTTGTACTGCTCTAACAGTGAGGAAGTGATAGTTATGGGGCTCTGCCACAGAGGGGTTGCCCTTGCTAGCCCAGGTGGAACCCCATTGGGAGACCTGCATTTGACTCCCTTCTGAGCTCTCTCTCTCCCCCTCTTCCTTCCTTCCGCCGCCTTTCTTCCTTTTCCAGCCTCCAGTGCACCCCCTGCGCCGGGCTGTGTCCGAAGATCTGCAACTTGGAGAAAGAGAAGGTCATCGACTCTGTGACGGCGGCGCAGGAGCTGCGAGGCTGCACCATCATCAACGGCAGCTTGATCATCAACATCCGCGGAGGAAGTGAGTGTCCTGGTTCCCTTTGTGCTGTTTGGCCCACCTCAGTGGCTGGGCCAAGAGGGATGGGGGGTGTCTCTCCCTCTGGCCGACCCCTCCGCCCTTGAAGGGCTTCTTGAAGCCGCTTGTCCCCAAAGTTGGGGTGCAGTGGCTTGTGTTGGTCATTCACCGTTTCTTTGCTTTAAGTCTTATTTACAGTATTTGTTTATTTCTAGGCTCCCTTTCTCCCAATCAGGGGACCTCACAGTGTGGCTCACCGTATGATAAGAATAGAATCAGGAACATAATAAGTTAAACATTAAAACACACACACACACACACCATTGAATTCAGGAACATAATAAGTTAAACATTAAAACACCATTGAATTGTATGTTCATTAAAATATGGTGAAATAATAGTTGAAAGCAGGTCAACGTAAAAACACGGTCCTCACTTTTAAGAAGGCCTTCAGGGATTTGATCAGGATGGTTCATTGGGACCTTCGCAAGGTTAGCCCAGCTTTTTGGAGAAACGGCAGACGGTGTGCGCAAAGCAAAGGGCAAGGTTAAAAAGGGGAACGGCTCAAATGGGCACCGCTAGAGGGAAAAATGCGCACAAACTTGTTTTCGTCCACGTTCAGGAGGGGGAAAAATCCCATTTTAAAAGGGATAATACAGGCATGCCAGATTTTTTTTTTAAAAAAGGTGTCTGAATCCGATGTGAACGTAGGAGGAGAAGAAAGCCAAGCGGGAATCATAGAAATGCAAACCAACTGACATGGGGAAGTTGGTCACTTTGATTATGTCCTCAATCCCACGCCTCCTTTAGGCAACATTGCGGCCGAGTTAGAAGCCAACTTGGGTCTGGTCGAAGAGATTTCGGGCTATTTGAAAATCCGCCGCTCCTATGCTCTGGTCTCCTTGTCTTTCTTCCGCAAGCTGCACCTCATCCGAGGGCAGGATTTGGAAGCGGGGTGAGTTCTCTCTCCTTTTTTTAAAGAGATGCCTGAAGGGAACTTAGAGAAGGGCCGGCGCTCAGTTTAGAAAGAAGTTACAAGGAGATCAGACTGCCGTTAAAAGGCCAGGCCCCAGGGCCAGTTGTTGGGGAGGGGGGGGTGAGACGCTCTTTGTCTTGTTCAATGGCATGTATCTTCTCATTTCTGCCCCTGTTCACATGCCTGACCTGTGATTCGGAAGGTAAAGCGCTGTTTGCCAAGCATCAGGGCGTGTGGGAGGAGGAAGATGCTGGTTTTCTGCCCAAGTTCAGAGATTGCACCACGAACCACAGTTTTAGCAAAACGCTGCCAGATTCCCATTTTGGAGCCTGGCATGAGTTGGCTTGTTGTGGTACAAATGGGGTTTGGAGCCCAAATGCTCATTCTGCTGTCATTCAGCAAATGAATTGGCATCGATTCCCACTTCTTACTGAGGGGCTGGCCCAGAGATGCTGGCCGGGCAGATCACCCGTCTTGTAAGGGCTGAACAGACTCCTCTTTTCAGGTTCTTTTTTTCGTGTTTAGCAAGAAATAAAAGTGCAGTAATGCCTGCATAACACGGCCCTAGACTCCAAATCCCGTGAGGCATTATTCCCCCTTTATTTGGCCCTGGTTAGGCCTCCTCTTGAGTCCCGGGTCCAGTTCTGGACACCACGTTTCAAGAAGGATGCTGACAAAGTGGAACAAGTTCACAGGAGGGCAAAAAAACTGAAAGAACTGGGCATGTTTAGCCTTGAGAAAAGAAGGCCAAGGGGAGACAGGATGGGACTTTCCCAATATTTGAAAGGCTGTCCTACAGAGGAGGGGCAGGATCTGTCCTCCATCCTCCCAGAGGGCAGGACACGCAACCGTGGGCTCAAGTGAGAGGATGCCAGATTTCAGCTGACTATCAGGAAAAACTTCCTAACTGTTAGAGCAGTACAATGATGGGAACCATGACCTCGGGAGGTGGTGAAGCTCTCCAACACTAGAGGGAGGCCTTCAAGAGAAAAGTGGACTGCCATCTGTCGGATCTGCCTTGATTCGGCTCCTGTCTTGAGCAGGGAGGAGGTTGGACTCGATGGCCTTGGAGGCCCCTTTCCCAACTCCGTGATTCTTCGATTCTACCCACTCAGGGCATCGGTAGCAGACCAAGCCCTTGGAATTTGTGCCGTAAAGGACGGTGTTCCTCTGCCCCTTTAGCCCTGACTCAGCTAGCACTCCATTTCATCGGCACCCATCCTGACTGCCAGGAGTGGGATAACCTGGGACGCGCCTCCTCTCCTGTCGCCCTGTCTGGTTCACTAAGGTGCTGTGAGGGGGCTCCTTGTGGCCCCGCAGGGGCTTGAGCCTAGGGATAGAACCCGTTCCCTGGGGGCTCCCACCCTGCAGCCTTCCCTTCTCTGCTTTCACTCCAAGTGTCAGAACAGGCTTTTCCCGACCGATCAGTGCCTGCCTTTGTTTCATGAAGGCATCCGTTGATCTTGTCCCTTGGCACCCTTTGCTGCCCTGCCCTAAAGTCTTTCCAAAAGGAGCAGGTGATAACATTCTTAAATCGGAGAAGCCAAACAGAACAGGCCCACTGGAAGCAAACTCTCCCGTGTCGCCTTTCCCGGCAGGAACTATTCTTTCTACGCCTTGGACAACCAGAACCTCCGGAAGCTTTGGGACTGGAGCAAACACAACCTCACCATCACTCGGGGAAAGCTTTTCTTCCATTACAACCCCAAGCTGTGCCTGTCCGAGATTCACAAGCTGGAGGACATCTCCGGGACCAAGGGCCGCCAGGAGAAGAACGACATTGCCCTCAAGACCAACGGCGACCAAGCTTCTTGTAAGCCTCCGGGAGGCTGTTCTGGGATGGGACGGGGGTGGGTGGGTGGGGGAGTGACCTCTAAGCCTGGAAAGGGTGGGGGAGGGACACAAATGGAAAGAAGGAGAGAGGATGCTGCGGGCGGCATCATCCTCTCTCCCTGGGTGCCTCTGTTGTGATTCTGCTGTGTTTGCTTCTTGCCGAGAGGGAGGGAGCCAGGCAGGCTCAGCCCCCCAAATGGGCCACTTCCTGTTTGGGCACAATGTGTGTGTTTGTTCAGCATCAGCTGTGGGGCCGGGGCGTGCCTTTCGGGCAAATCTTCTGCCAGGCGGGCAGGACACGGGGACAGCTTGTCCTTTCCCGGGCAGCAGCAGTGTGCCTCCCTCTGTGTGTGTGTGTGTGTGTGTGTGTGTGAGTGAGAGAGAAAGAGAGAGCATTTTGCCTTTTCCACTTGATCTGTATCGATGAGGCACGGTGGGTGTTTTGTGTTCATTCCACACCATAGCCAGAAACCCACTGAAACGCGTGGCTGCTCTTCGGCTGGCAAGGTTTTGAGAAAGCCTGCCAGAATAAAACAAGGTTTCAAGAGATTTCTTAAAGGACAAATGGAGTGTGGGGGGAGGGGGGGAAGGGGAGGCAGATTTCAAATGGCACCTCATTCCACATATGGGTTTTGGCCCCTGTGGGTGTATCCTCTGAGGCTTAAGAAAAAGAAAGAGCCCAGCGTCTCCGAGGGAGTTGGGGTGCAGGGATGAGCCTGTTTTCTCCTGTCTGGGTCCAACCCTCCCACCACTGGTGCCTCCCACTCTCCCTCCTGGGCCATTTCCATTCTGCTAGACTCGATCCAAAATCTGTCCCGCTCGCTCAAGCCCACCCACCTCTCCCCGTTTTCCAGGCCTCTGCTTACACAACCTTCGGCCCGTGGCCACTTGTCCCTCGACCCCAGGGGTCCTCCTTCCAGTGCTGGCCTTCCCGCCCGAGCAGAAGTTCTTCCGTGGCTTTTCTGCCCCACTCTTCCATGTGACCCCTTTGGCTGACGGCGTAGCCTTACTCCTGTGGCTCCTGGCCGTTCAGGGCTGGGCTGTTCCTAATGCTGACCCCCTTTCCCCATCATGCTCTTCTCTTTTGGCTTGGTGTGCATTTTTTAAAAACCCAGATGGGATCCATTCGTTGTGGTTTCCCCCTCCCCCCAGGTGAGAACGAGGTGCTCAAGTTCTCCTTCATCAAAACGTCCAGCGACAAGATTGTGCTGAAGTGGGAGCCATACTGGCCCCTGGACTTCCGTGACCTCCTGGGTTTCATGCTCTTCTACAAAGAAGCGTGAGTAAACCAAAAGGACAGCACCTCCCCCCTGGGGAGGTCCCCGGCCTGAGAGAATGGGGGCTGGGCTGCCCCACACGGGCATCCATTTCTCTCTCTCTCTCTGGAGGTATAGCAGGTATCTGACAGGGACCGTCCTCTCTCCTTTCTCTTTCCCTCTTTGGACCAGTCCCTTCCGGAACGTGACCGAGTTTGACGGCCAGGACGTGTGCGGTTCAAACAGCTGGACCGTGGTGGACATCGACCCTCCCGCCCGGCCAACGGATGCCAAGCCCATCTCCTACCCTGGCTGGCTGCTTCGGGGCCTGAAGCCTTGGACCCAGTACGCCATTTTCGTGAAGACGTTGGTCACCTACTCGGACGAGCGCAAGACCTACGGGGCGAAAAGTGAGATCATCTATGTCCAAACCAATGCCTCAGGTGAGCAACTGGCCGAATGCTGAGAGGTACGGTGAGCGAGGAGACTCTGGGAGGGGGCCCTGCTGTCATCTTAAGGGAGACAGGACGACACACACACACCCCATATCCATGGGGTATCGGTTCGAAGCCCTCGGGCGGATCCTGAACATTGCAGATTATAGCAAACACCCTCTTAATAACGAAAGGTCTGCATCACTTGGTCTCTGATTCCCTCTTGTGGCCAGTTCTGGTAACTTCGCCATTAAAAATACCTATTTAGAGGATTTTTCTTTTAACATTTTTTAAATACTTTCCACACTGCGGATACAGGAATCCCCGTGGTTACCAGGGGTCCTCCTGTACTGTCTAACCCAAATGCCCGGTCTTATAAAACAGCAAAGGCTCGCCAGCCGCCTAAGAACAAGCACGTGTGTGGATATTTAAAAATTGAAGTAAAAACCAATTTAGGGAAAACACCAGCAGGAGAAAAGTCAGGAGCCACCCAGCAGAAGAGTCTCACAAGCACACGGGGAGGTCTAGAGGCTGGTCTCCAGCCGATGGCTTAGGAAAACCCAACCAGGAAGGGCCGCATCCTGCACATTTGGGTTGCAAGCTTCCTGCAGGGTGGGGGAACACAACTCTGAAGCCATGAGGCATTTTATTGTTGTGGTTGTGGTTGTTGCTGAGCCTGATCTCCTTGGTTCTTCCTTTTTTCTTCCCCCTTCCAGTGCCGGCCGTCCCCACGGATCCCATCTCTGTCTCCAACTCGTCCTCCCAGATCATCCTCAAGTGGAAGCCGCCCACCGACCCCAACGGCAACATCACCCACTACGTGGTCTCCTGGGTGCAGCTGAGCGAGGACCGCGAGCTGTTCGAGCTGGACTACTGCCTGAAGGGTGGGTGAGAGGCAAGCGCGGCGGGCCTTCCCACTTGGAAGCTTTTCGAGAGGGTCACAGCTGCTCCGCCCACTGAACTCTCCTGCAGACAACCCCAGGCCCGGCCCACGATATCAGATGTTGACTGTCGTCTGTTGCATTTTTAAAAAGACCAAACCCCACCACCACCACCACGAAACTTGTTCTTACGCAGTGAAGAGGCACATAATTGGGTTGAAATACAGTAGGACCCCCTTATCTTATGGTGGCTCTTTGCAGTTTCCTAGGTGAAGAATACTTGGCAGAAGTTTCTGTTTCCCTTTTGGGGACTGCGCAGCTTGCCCGTGGCCGTGCAGGCCGGGCTCTCCTCACCGGAGGCACAGTGGGGGGAATTCGAACTCCCAGGTGCAGCCAGAGACTGAAATCACTGAGCTGTCTTAGCAGTTCATCATCGTCTTAGAACAGCCGAGTTGGGAGGGGACCCTCTCTAGATCCTCCTCTCCAGCACCTGTCTGGGAGGCCCAGTGGGGGATTCAAACTCCCAACCCTCTGGCTCCTCAGCCAGATGCCTAACTGATCCAGCCAGTAGGAGTGAGAATAGACGGGTCCCACCCCCTTCAACAGGTAGAGACAAAGGCCTGGACTCAAGAGTGTTCCATATCCTTCCTTCCTTCCCTCCCTCCCTCCTCCACTCAGGATTGACATTCCTCCAAGGTGTATCTGTTCTTTTCCCAAGGTTATGTTGTTGTTTTCAACTTATTGGGGGCTTATCTGAAGCGTTTGAAGCCGGCCCGTTGCTGAACCTTTCTGTCCCCGCAGGCTTGAAGCTGCCCTCTCGGATCTGGTCGCCCCCTCTGGAGTCCGAAGACGTCCACAAGCACAACCAGACTGAGAACGAGGAGGTCAGCGGGAACTGCTGCGCCTGCCCCAAGACGGACTCTCAGATCCAGAAGGAGCTGGAGGAGTCGGCCTTCCGGAAGACCTTTGAGAACTACCTCCACAATGAGGTGTTTGTTCCTAGGTGAGGTGCAACCCCGTGGGGGCTCCTCCGTCGTCTCAGCTCCAATCGGGGATTGAAGGAGCAGTTTCTCTCCTGCCAGCAACAACTTCGGGACTCCCCCCACCCTCCCGAGCCGCGGGAAATCCGTCGATGCTGGAAAGTGCGGATTAGGGTGAATGCAGTGCAGAGCGTGGCCTCTGGCTACCTCTAGCGGGCAGCTCTGGTCATTCCAGCTCTAGAAATACATATTTCTAGGATTTTTCTTTTTCATATTTTCAGGCCGTGGATCAAATGAATCAATGGATGCTTGGTCCTGCGGATGCAGGGGTATTGCTGCAGCCATGGACTGTATCTTATTAATATCTCTCTCTCTCTCTCTCTCTCTCTCTCTCTCTCTCTGGGGCGGGCGGTGCTTTCTGCAGGCCCCAGACAAGGAGACGGAGGGACCTTGGCAGCATCGCCAACAGCACCACACCGCCCCCTGCTGTCCTGGGCTCGGCGAACGGCTCCACCGTTGTGCCTGAGGAAGCCAAGCCCTTCGAGATGGTGGTGCTGAAGGAGTCAGTGGTCATATCCAGCTTGCGGCACTTCACGGGCTACCGGATCGAGATCCAGGCCTGCAACCGCGAGGCCCCGAAGGAGTGCGGCGTGGCCACCTACGTTAGTGCCCGGACCATGCCGGAAGGTGAGGAGGGGCGCCCTCGGCTCTCCCTCTCTGTCGGGCAAGGGGGGGGGCCCAAGAGCGCATAACCAGACATGCCCAGGGTGATGTCTCCTGGGTTTTTTAACAGTTTTTTATTTAACTAAACAACAAGAAGACAAAAGAAAACTACATCTAATAAGGCAGAAAGAAAACCCACCAAAGGTTTTTTTTAAAAAAACATAATACATTCGGAAACAAACCAACTTAAGCTATATCGTTACACAGAAGGGCACCCTTCCACCGGAATCGTTTGAACATATGTTGCCTCAGCTTTCCAATTCTTTGGGGGGGGTACCTAACTTTTCCATTTGCTAATACATAATCAATGAAAAGGAAAGGCTGATAGGAGAGAGGAGAACCCTCTTCAAAGATTTGAAAGAGGGGTCCTCCAGAGGAGAGGGGCAGGATCTGTCCTCGATCCTCCCAGAAGGCAGGAGGTGTCAGAAGGAGCTCAAGCAACAGGAAGCCAGATTTCGACTAAATAAACCAGGAAAATCTTCCTGACTGTTAGAGGGGTATGATGACAGGACCCCATGACCTCGGGAGGGGGCGAGCGCTCCGGCGCTGGAGAAAATGCGACCTTTCCCCCTGTTGGATCGGCTTAGATTTGGGTTCCTGCCTTGAGCAGGGGGTTGGACTCGATGGCTCAGAGGCGCCATTCAACTCCTATTATTGATTCTAAAACATCTCAAATTTCGCTGAAGGTGTTCTTATTTGTCCAACCCTTCCTGACCATAATATTGCAAGTTAATTTCTCATTCATAGCTGCATTCCAAACTTCTTCCTACCAACCGTTTCCTTGAAGTTTGTGCTTCGATTTCCAATTCTTCGCTATCGTTACTCTTACGGCCTTTAATAAATGCGTTGTCCCTTCTCTCCCCGTCCAGTCCTGGTGTGCCGTGTGGCCAAAGGGCTAATGATGCTGTTCTAGGACATTTTTTCTCTACCTTTCATTTCAACATAAGTGTGATGCTTTCTCCCCTCTTGTCTTTGGTCGCCTCCAGCCAAAGCAGACGATATTGTGGGTCCCGTGACCTACGAGCTTCTGGACCAGAACAACGTCCACCTGCGATGGCAGGAGCCCAGGGAGCCAAACGGGCTCATCATCCTCTACGAGGTGAACTTGGGACGCCTGGGCGATTCCGAGGTGAGAGCCATTCCTGTCTCCCGAAACCACCAATGCCTTGGGGTTTTTGTAGCTGTGCCTGCTTGTCGCGTGTATGTCACGAGAGCCACCTTGGGCTCTGCCCCAGGAGGAAGGCGTCCTGGCGTATTAAAGGCATGCATGGTGTATTAACTGCTCCTTCCTTGTTCTCCTCCGCTCTCTCTCCCCCTCCAGGAAGAGCGCCACTGTGTGTCCCGCCGGGATTATTCCAACAATCACGGCTGCAAGCTACGGGTGTTGCAACCCGGCAACTACAGCGCCCGGGTCCGGGCCACCTCGTTAGCAGGGAACGGATCATGGACTGAGCCCGTCTACTTCTACGTCTCCGATTCTCGTAAGGCGAACAGTTCTGTGGCGCAAGGTTCCTTTCTGTCTGGGGGGGTGGAGGAGGTAGCAGCCCAAGCACAGGGAAGTGTAAAGAAGAGATGAGCTTGGTGTGCCTCTGGCTTGCTCTCTGGGGTGGTGGTGGAGGGAGGGGGCAGGCCATGCCATCCGGGAGACTACACTCAGGCCGTTTTTAGGAGACAGAGATATGTTTGTCTGTCCCAGCATGTCAGGACAAAAACAAAATAAAAAAAGATAAAGGCAACAAATGAAAAGAAAAGAAGACAAAAATTCAAAGGAAAGAAGACAAAAGTAAAAATATAAAGAAGACAGATATAAAGAAGAGAGACCTACAGGTGCTGCAATGTTTTTGTCTTCTTTATTTTTTGTTCTGTTTTGGCCTGGATAGACTGAGGCCAGTTTGCCATGGCTCCAGCAGGGCACGTCTTCAGAAGACACCGGCAGAGCATCTGGTCGCACCTTAAAGGTGGACAAGCTGCGTTGAGCACCAGCCTTGGCTGCCATTTTGAACCCAGGGCCTGGGGGCAGGGTCTTGTGTCCATTGCCTTTTTCATGATGGCAAGGGGTGGGGCAAGGGGTAAGCAACTCCCCTCCACCCTCCTGACCTTCCTTCCTTTCCTTCTCCCCGCTTCTCTGCCCCTCTAGTGGGCTCGCCGGTCAACCTGGTCAGCATAATTGTTCCCGTCATTTTTGCCATCTTCCTCTTCGTGGTCATCGGAGGCGCCTACGTATTCGTCAGGAAAAGGTTAGTGTCTCCCCCCCCTCTGGCCCATCCATCTCGAGGGTAGGGGCCTCTGGAGAGCATATATTTTTTAAGCCAAGTTATTTCTTCCTTTTAGGGAGAGCTTTCAAGAGTTTTACACCAGAACCCCAAATCTGTGACTTCTTGGGTCTCTTTTTTGTTTTGTTTTGTGTCTTACAAGGTTTTAGGAGTGTTTTGACAGGAACAGTATTTCAACAAGATTGATTATGTTTTAATATTTGGGACTCTTTGCATTTTTAGTTCATAGGCTGTACAGTAGGACCTCCTGATCTGTGGGATCGGTATCCGCTGATTCACTTATCTTCGGCCTGGACATATTAAGAGAAGAATCCCCCAAATATATATTTCTAACAGTGAAGTTGTCAGAACTGGCCACGGGAGGGAGCCAGAGACCATTCTTTGTCTTGCGTTTGCTGTTAGATTAGTCTTGGCTATAATCCATATTTTCAGCCTCCTCAAAGGGAGTCTTGGCACTGTTCTCCCGTGGGTATGGGGGTCCCACTGTATTGTAAGCTGCCTTTGGTCCTAATTCTGGGATAAAAGCGGCATACATAAATATAATAGATATTGGCCTTTTGAAGAGTTGCTTTGGGATCAGTCTGTTGAGGGTGGCTCTCATTTCTCCCTCTTCCCCTTCCCCCAGGCAAACCGAAGGACCCACGGGGCCTCTCTACGCCTCTTCCAATCCGGAGTATCTCAGCGCCAGCGATGGTGAGAAGCCTCCTGTTTGCTCTGGGTTGCCTCCCCCAGCACAGCGGCTCAGTCACCAAGCCCTGCTTGCTTCCCTGGCAGTTCCTTGAGATGTGGAAAGCTGCTTTTCAGCCTGTGGGGTGTCCAGGGTGGAGTTGGGGGAGGGCAGAGAAAGAAGCCCAGGGGCAGAGGTGCAGGGCAGAGGGGCTGGTGGGGGAGGGGAAGAGGGAACTCCAAGGATTGGAAGCTGAGTCAGAGTAGAGGCCAGGCCTCGGATCAACATCAAGGGGAGCCGCGGTGGCTGGCTTTTGTGCTTGACGGGGCGCCGGAGAATGACCCAGCGCCAATCCTCTGGTTGCATCTAGGTTGTCCTGCCACACGTGTGTCCCGCTGGTTTTCTTCTCTTTTTAAAGTGCAAACTTAAAGAAAATAAAAAAAAATTAAATTAATTAAAAAACAGAAAAACCCAGCAGAATAGAAATCATATACACGAGACTTCAAAAATAATAACGGGGAGGATATTGCTGATTCTCTTTCCCTTCAGGGATTCCCAGTTCCCCTTCCACAGCTGTAACGCTTCTTGCGATGGCAACCCTTCCCTTCCTTTTTCTTCATGCCTAATTCACCTATTCTCTCTGGATCTCTGCAAAAGTATGGCTTTCCTACCATCCTTTCTTTGCCACAAGATGGCCCGTTAGTTTGTCCTTGGTCGCTGGGAGTCTACGGTTCCTTATTCCCTTCCTTTAGCTTGAGAGTCACGTTTTAGGACTGATCCCTAAGTATTGGAAAACGTACGGCCAGGTTTCATGAACCCTCCTGCTGAAGCGGCATGCGTCTCTTTCTCTTCCCGCCCGGCTCCCTTCTCGCAGTTTACATCCCAGACGAGTGGGAGGTGCCCCGGGAGAAGATCGCTCTCCTTCAGGAGCTGGGGCAGGGCTCCTTCGGCATGGTGTATGAAGGGGTCGCCCGGGACATCGTCAAGGGTGAGGCTGAGACCCGGGTGGCCGTCAAGACGGTGAACGAATCCGCCAGCCTGCGAGAACGCATCGAGTTCCTCAACGAGGCCTCTGTGATGAAAGGGTTCAGCTGCCACCATGTGGTAAGAGGAGAAGACACGTGCTCTCTGTGATGTAGGGGCAGGCAAGACGCCTGAGAGGCATCGTGATGCAGTTTCAGTTTATAAGAATGGGGTGTCTCTATACATCAACCATGTGGTCAAAATCAGTGGCCCGTTTGCCTTCCTTTGACTCCAAAACCATCTGCGGATTGTGCAGGGGTTTCCCTCTCCACCCACCCCACTGTGCCCTGAAACCAGACTTTCTGACTCTTCCCTATCCGCTTCACTCATTCGGTTAGGTACGGCTCCTTGGGGTCGTTTCCAAAGGGCAGCCGACCCTCGTGGTCATGGAGCTGATGGCGCACGGGGACCTGAAAAGCTACCTGCGCTCCTTGCGGCCGGAAGCAGAGGTAAGCGCCTTGGGGGTGGGGGTGGGGTTCAGGGAGGGAAGGAAAGGGAGGCCCGGGAAGGAACTGGCTCCTCAACCCCCCCTTCCCACGGAAATGCCCACCTTAGTTAATGTCCCTGGCTTGGCTTCTCAGAACAACCCTGGCCGGCCGCCGCCAACCCTCCACGAAATGATCCAGATGGCAGCCGAGATCGCTGATGGGATGGCCTATCTGAATGCCAAGAAGTTCGTCCACCGGGACTTGGCTGCCCGGAACTGCATGGTGGCCGAAGACTTCACCGTCAAAATTGGAGGTAGAGTTTCCGTCCTCCCTCCCTTCCTCCCTCCCTCCCTCCTTCCTTCCCTGGCAGGCTACCTTGGCCTTCTCCCAGGTGTTCTGACTGACCTGCTGGTGGATGGATTACAAATCTCTCTTTTCTCTCCGAAATGGGATTCAAGGCAATACGCACTCCCAGCTGTTAAAACTACAAGAGGACCCGTCATATCAACAGAAGATTGGCAAAAGGAATTTAAACATTTCAGCAGTTGTTACTAGAGTTGGCCACCAGAGGGAGCCGGATACCATATGATGTATAGCGTTCATTGTTATCCACGTTCTTCAGCATCCACAGGGGATTTTGCTGTACAACAAAGCACAACATGAAATCCCATTGCCCTGCCGCCCCCCAACCTGCCCATGGCTCAAAACTGACCAGAGGGAGACAAGAAGGAGAAAGGGGGCTAGCCTCACCTCTCTTGGCAAGGGGTCAGGGCAGCCACCAAGAAGGCCCTGTGTTTTCAGAACGGGCTGGCTTTTCTGCTGGAGTCTTTTCCCTTTCCCTGAGCAATCCCACCAGTGTCTCTGGTCGCTGGGCCCTGAGTTTTAATTGTGCGGCTGTGAACTGCCTTTTCCTTTCAGACTTCGGCATGACCCGGGACATCTATGAGACGGACTACTACCGGAAGGGCGGGAAGGGCCTGCTGCCAGTCCGGTGGATGGCCCCCGAGTCCTTGAAGGATGGCATCTTCACGGGCTACTCCGATGTCTGGTGAGCGGCTCCCGGCCCCTTAGCGCCTGCCGCCTCCCACCAGTTTCCCTCCCTGGGGTTGCACGGGGAGCAGGGGTAGTTGGAGGAAGGAAGGAAGGAAGGCCAGCCTGTCACGCCCAGAAGGCTGGTCTCTCTCTTCTTGACCGTCCTGGCGGCTTTCTGGGACATTTGTTCCTGCTCAGCCCCTTTTCGTCTCACTGCTTGGAACAGAAGGGTGCTGGTTGAAGGCTCCTCTGGGCATCTGGAACCTTCTCTCTCTTTCTCTTCCCCCCCTCCCAGGTCTTTCGGGGTGGTCCTTTGGGAGATCAGCAGCTTAGCGGAGCAGCCTTACCAGGGCCTGTCCAACGAGCAGGTCCTGAAGTTCGTCATGGACGGAGGATGCCTGGAGCGGCCAGAGAACTGCGCGGAGCGGCTGTAAGCATTGCGTCCTCTTCTCGGCAGTCCAAGGTGGGGGTGAGGTTGACGGCCGGGGGAAGGATCTGGGCTGGATTTCGGCTCGCAAGTGGGCAAGAATCCACATTTGCCCTCGATCGCTCTGTTCTTTACTTTGGGAAGGAGAAACCAGAAGTCTTTTAGCCCTCGTATCACCCTCCTCTTTCCAGGCTCACAATGGTAGGGACCCCCGATTGCCAGGATCCTTCTCCACTGATCCACAGTCCGGAAACAGTAAAAGAAAAATCTTAAGACATAATACATATATACTTCTAAATATAACGTTACCAGAACTGGCCACCAGAGGGAGCCAGAGACCCTATGCTATTCACCCTTAAAATAGTGTTCACTATCATCTGCGTTTTTCAGCATCCATTTGGGGGGGGGAGGGGAAGGTTAGAACTGGTGAACTGATCCTGCCCGCACCTAGGGAAGTGTTGCACAGGGAACCAGGAAGGGGTGTGGGGGGGAGGTTAGAGCCAACTCCTTCCCAGCTCTGGGAACTGACAAGTTCGTGCTGGCCCTCACGGGTCCCTCCCCCCCCCACTTATGTGTGTTTATGTGTGTGTGTCTCCTTCCAGGCACAACCTCATGCACATGTGCTGGCAGTACAACCCCAAGATGCGCCCCTCGTTTGTTGAGATCATCACGATGCTGCTGGAGGAACTGCACCCCTCCTTCCAGGAGGTCTCCTTCTTCTGCAGCGAGGAGAACAAGCCGCCAGAGACGGAGGACTACGAGCTGGACTTTGAGAACATGGAGAGCATTCCCCTGGACCCGGCCTCTTACTCGCAGCGGGACGAGATCTCCGGGCGGGACGGCGGGCCCTCCCTGGGGCTGAAAGGGAACTACGAGGAGCACGTCCCCTACACGCACATGAATGGGGGCAAGAAGAATGGGCGCCTCCTATCCGTGCCCCGCTCCAGCCCCTCCTCATAGCAGGCCGCCCCCCCACCGCCTTGGGCTCTCTTCTTCCCACCCAACCCAACCCAACCCAACCCCTCTGCACACCGATCTCAGGACTTTTCAGTATTGCCGACACCGCTCGGAGGAGGACAACAGAGGACTCCAGTTTGCAATCCTCTGAAGATCGGAGGTGGACGGGGCTGGCCGGTGGGAGAACGTTCGGTGTGTTACTGTTTGGGGGGCTGCTGGGGGTCTCTTTGGTACAGACGTGGCCTCACGGTCAGCAGCTGCCCTCTGCAAGACACCGACCCAGGTCGTCCTGCAATGATCGAACCCCGCCGTCAGACGGGGGCCACTCCCGCACCACCATCCCAACCCCACACGGTTCTGCCTTTCGGGACTGGAGCCCTGGCCAAGGACGTTGGGGGGCTCAAGGGGAAGGTGAGCCCCGTGCCGGACCGTTCCTGCTGGAAACCCGGAGCGTTCCTCTCCGGCCAGCCTCACCGGAGGGAAATTGAGGATCGTTTCACTTTCGAAAAAAGGCTGAAGGATTCTTCGAGAGGGTGTCAAACATGGACTCTGTTTTTTTTTCCTCCCGATTTGACCAACCGCTGCTGCTTTTCTTCTGAATGGGTTAACACGTGTGTGTAGGTGTGCGTGTGTGGGATGACTGTGTGTTGGGTTGTGTGTGTGTGTGTGGTCTCACACTCACACACACACACACACACACACAAAGAGAAGTATATGTGAAATGGGTGAGTTCTTTTGTAAATAGCCGTTGTTATCTAACCACAGAGGCGAGAGTGGGGCGGGGGGGTCTCTCTCTTCGCCAGGCCTCCTGACCGTCTGGCGCGGCCTGATTTCTGAATAGATTATTTTTATATCGAAGAACTATTTTCAGAGGGGGGGGAAGGTGGGGAATTGCCTCTCGCCGTTCAGCACAACAAGGTAGCCAAAGCCAAATGGCCAGTGTCCTGTTTGGGACTCTGTGGAGGCTCACAAGACCAAGCCCCCGGGGGGGGGGGAAGCAAGCTAGCAAGCCAGGGACAGGGGCCCTTCTCCACCCAGACAGCTCCCATCTGATGAGCATCCTGTGTTTATGTACAAATATACATATACGTAGGTATATGTATACAATACATATGTATACACACACATTATATATGTGTGTGTGTGTGTTCATGGAAACACAATTAAATTGTAGGTAGTGAACCTCCTTATAAATTATCAATCCCTGGTTCTCCCCCCCCCCTTTGCCTGCTTGCCAGCCAGCTCCTTCTCAAAAGTCTCCCCCCCCCCAGCATCTACCCTGATTTCAGCAAGCCAGCTGCCGACAAGGCTAGGCGCACAAACCTGGACTTTAAAATCTACAGATTAACCGAGTGCTGTGTTGTGTGTGTGCATTTATTTTAGGTTGTGTCTCCCTCCCCCCTCCCTGCCGCCTTTTTGAAGCAACCCAGAATGGTGGAAATCCGGAAGCGTTTGGGCCACTGGCGGCTGAGCCTTGCGAGCCATTGGATCTGGCCGGGGGGGCTTTGGTCCTCCCGCCTCCTTTGCTTAACTGTCGTGCAAGGTGCCTTTTGGAAGGGGCACGGGAAGACCCTTGCTGAGGGCAAGCAGGGAAGAAAAGGCCGGGACCGACCCGCCAGGGCGCCGTGGGGTGGACCGTGATGCCGATGCTGCTTGTCTTTTGGGGCGTCTACTCCTGGGCAGCCAGAACTGCTAAGGGTGCCAGGGATTTAGCCGGGTGCTTCCCCCATTGCACGCTCGCACAAACTAGAGCCAGAGCTTTGTGAGCACGAGGGGATCGCCTTTTACCGCCTTTCTCAAGCAAGCGGGGGTGTCTTCTAGGGATCCTGTCTCCCATCCTGGAAAGCCCGGGAAGGGGTGCCGAGGCCTCACCTTGCTTTTGGCCGCTGCCTTCGGGGAGGGGGGGACCCCCACCCCTCGGCCCCTCTTTCCGGTGCCTGCTAGAGCCAGCCGTCCCCTGCAACGGGGAGGGTGGGCGTGCATGCGTGCGGGCGGGTGTCTCGCCTGCTCTTCAAAGCCATTGCGAAGCCCACGGGACCCTCTTCAGAAAGCCCGACCTTTCAGTTCGGGAGCCGGCGTCCGCCTTAACGTCGGCGTGTGTGCCTTCGATGCCGGACACTGGAAGAGGTGTTGTGGCGTGGGTGTGCGTGTGTGCCTTGTGTGTCTCCCTCTCCTGGCGCCTGTGTGTGTTGCGTGTGAAGTCCCGGTCTCTCGACACGGCGCTCTGTTCCTTTCCAGGGCCAACCTTTGGCCACGTGGGGGCTGGTCTTCGCCCCCCGGCACCTCCGTGGGGCACAAAGACTGGCACGGCCAGACTTTGCTGGGGGTCAGCCGCCTGGCCTTGTCCTTCGCCCCCCCCCCATCATGGTCTCCTCTGTTCCTCCTGAATCACAGCTTCTTTTATTCCACTATGTAAAGTTGATTACTCTGTCCGATCACCCCAAGGACTTGGTCCCAAATCCTCCTCGATCTCTTTCCGTCTCTGTGTGTGTGTGTTTTCCGGTCTTCTCGATAAGCTTTTAAAAATTTGTTTCCATGTAATGTGAATCATTATTTTATGAAAAAGCAAAACACAAACCATTTAAGAAGCATCTTGCGTTTTCGATGGAAAAGCCTATGTAAAACGCCTTGTAAAATATATAGATTTTTGTTGTTGATGTTCTGGAAGAATGAAACGTGGCTTGAAAGTCCTCTTGTCTGCCAGCCTCTGGCTCCGCACTCTTGTGTCGATTTTCTTTCAGGATCTTTTTGGGAAATATGAAATACTTTTAATTTCTAGAAGAGGTATGTTTTTTTTGGGGTTTTTTTTTTTTGGACAGCTACTCCCAGAGTTCCTTGAGACCTGACTTTTGAGAGTTGGAATCTGGAGTTATCTTTAATTTCTATTTTCATTTTCCTTGGGAACGGGCGGTCCGATTTGGATCAGGATTTTGCCTATCCTCCCTTTTTCCGAGAAAAGTCTGCAGAGAAACCAGCTGTGCCCAGTGAGAAGCAAGGCCAAGACAGGCGAGGCCCCGTCCTGACTCTCGAAAAATTGTGTGGATTTTTGTCCCTGGAGAGGCCTTGCACCTTTGGCAGTGGGGAGAAGAGAGCAGAGGTGGTGCCCCAGCAAGAGGAAGGCCATGAAGAAAACCCCCGAGCTCTGGGTTCGAAGGAAGGCGTGATTCACTCCTCCACGGTCTGAAAAATATTAAAAGAAAAATCCCAGGAATATACAGTAGGACGCCATGATTCACGGGATCAGTATCCACTGATCCACAGTTTGAAAAAATATGAAAAACATTTAAAGAAAAAAAATTCAGAGAAAATGTTTTTTTCACATGTATTGCCAGAACTGGCCTCTAGAGGGTGCCAGAGACTGTGCTATAAATCACTGGTTCTTGACCTTGGGTTACTCAGGAGTTTTGGACTGCAACTCCCAGAAGCCTTCACCACCAACTGTGCTGGCTGGGGTTTCTGGGAGTTGCAGTTCAAAAACATCCGAGTAACAAAGGTTAAGAACCACTGCTATAAATCACTGGTTCTTAACCTTGGGTTACTCAGGAGTTTTGGACTGCAACTCCCAGAAGCCTTCACCACGAACTGTGCTGGCTGGGGTTTCTGGGAGTTGCAGTTCAAAAACATCCGAGTAACAAAGGTTAACCACTGCTATAAATCCTTTCCCCTGAAGAATCCATAACGTGGTCTCTGGCACCTTTTAGTGGTCAGTTCTGGTAACACATGTGAGAAAAAATTCTCTGGATTTTTTCCTTCCATCATACTTTTGCTCTCTCACTTGCTCTATGGTATTTGCTATTATCCACAGTTTCAGTATCCATAGGGGCCTTTGAGCCACTCCTCAGCAGGGTCCTACTACAGTATAGATTTCAGAAGGTGACGTTACCAGTAGTGACCACTGGAGGGAGCTAGAGGCCACGCAGCATCTAGCATTTGTTATGAAAATAGCATTCTCTATAATCACGTTTTTCAGTATCCGCTGGGGAAGCTTGGAATTACGGTAATCCCCAGCATATGAATACAGGAGTCCTACTCTATTTGGAATATATTGACACCGTGCGCCACCTCTCCCATGAGACTGAAAGTGCATGCCGCACAGGTGCATGTGACAAGACAGGTGGGCGCACGTTGCTTTGGTTTTCCATCACGGCCCCCTCCTGTAAATCTCTGCTGATCGCTTCACCCCAGAAGCTTGGAGGTTTTGTGTTTTCACCCGGGCATGGCAAGCAGGCCAGGAGGCGGCCACCCATCCCACCTTGGCCTGCCAAACTGGCTTCCTTCGTATCTTCTCCCTGCCACCCAACCTATGGCAAATTTTCTCCCCAACACGAAAAACCAGAAGTGGTCCTTATTATCTCCGGGAAGCCTCTTTTTTATTTTAAAATATGCACCTTTAACGTTAATCACATCACCAACAATGCTGCTTTATTATTATTATTATTATTGTTATTATTATTATTATCGTTTGGGGGGGTAGCAATCAAAAGACCACTTGGTTGTCTTAAAATGTTAATTTAAGCTTTTCTAGAAAGCCTCTGATTCACCCGAACAGTTTTGTTTTGTTTTTTTCCACCCCGAACTGTCCTCGTCTTTAATGTGGACAAATTTGGGAGGCCTTTCCCTGTTTGGGGGTTGCAACAGCCCGATATTTTTGTATCAGGGGAGGGACGGAGGGGAGAAGGAACAGCTCGTGGGGTCCCCGAGGTTCTGACCGACCCTTTTTCTGAGTCCTTAGCAACGTCCCCCCTCGCTGCTCCCTCTACCTGCGCCGATCGTCTCAGAAAACGGCGTGGCTGGGGGTTGTTTTTATTTTATTTTTTATTTTGCAGAAAGAAAATACCTCTTCTTTTAGAAATAAAGGATCAACACGTGCCATGGTTTTGAAAAAAAATTGAAATAGAAAAAAAAGATATACCGACTTGATTTATTTTTTCACTGCTTTCGTATACAGAGATCAGCAGCGATGCGCTCGAGATTATATTTGAATATAACGTGGAGTTGGCTGTGTGTAAAATATTGAACCATTACTTGTTTATATTAAAAAAAGGAAAGAAATTCTGAATAAATTATCCAAGAAGATATCTCTCTCTGCCTGGAACGTCTGTTGTGTGGCTTTTTGGTTATTTTAATTTGTGTTTTAGTGGCTGTTGCTTAATCTCCTTTCTGCAAGGTGCCTGTTGGGATCTTGCATGTCTCTTTCATGAAAATCATTTTGATGCTGGAGAGCTGAGCAAGTAAGGTTGAGGGTCTCTCTGGCTGCGGAGCCAGAGGTGGGGAGTTCGAATCCTGGACAGGGGCTGGACTGGATCATCTCGAGGATACCCCTTTCCAAGATTATTGTTGAAAACGGAGTTGGCAGGGGGTCCCCCTAAAGCCATCAAGTCCAACCCCCTGGCTCAAGGCAGGGATCCTGATCTGATTGGGAACCGTGGGTCTAGAACCTCGGGTCACCCAGGTGTCCTTGGACTACGACTCCCAAAAGCCTCCGCCACCAGCTCTGCTGGCTAGGATTTCTGGGAGTCGGAGTCTTCAGCACACCTGGGTGACCCCAGGTAGGGGAAACCCCTGGCCGAGAGGAGAATGGGCGGAGCCAGTGAACGGAGCCAAATAAGGAAGAAAAGGCGGGACCAAGAACTTTTTTTTGAGGTAGGTAAGGGGAGTTGGCTGTTGTGTTGATTGACAGCCATCCAGGTCCCGAAAAGGCCCGCCCCCGAGAAACACCTGGAGGGCACGAGCCTCCCAACCCCAAATAAGGAAGAAAAGGCGGGAAAGGAGGGCGGCGGGTGGCGAGAAGGATGCTGAGGAGAATTTGAAGGGGCGCTGAGTGGGTTGGAGGGAAGAGGGGTGGGAGGAAAGGGGTCCGAAGCCAGGAAGCCTTGTGAGGGGTTGTTCAAGAGGAGGACCCCCTGGCCAGGGGTCCCGGGGGCCTGTAAGCCTCCCCCCCCGCCCAAGGCTGGGGCAGGGGGAAAACGGGGGACCCTCACACACACCCCCCACAAGAAAGCAAGGAAAGGCTTCCCTCGGAGAGCGGCAATGCCGGCTTGCCCCCCCAAGTCCGCGCCTCGTTTCTTGGGGGCTCGAGAGAGGGGCCCGTGGCTGGCCGAGGGGAGGTGGCTCTTGCCGAAGAAGGAGGGTCTCTCCTCAAAGCGGGGGTTCCTCCCTCCCCCCCTCCAGGGTCCTTAGACTATGACTCCCAGAAGCCTTCGCCCCTTCCCCCGCTGGGTTGGCCAGGGTTCCTGGGCGTGGTCGCCCGAGCACATCTGGGCCACCCAAAGTGGGGAAGCCCTGCCTGCCTTCCAACCTCTCGACCCATGGTTGGGTCCCCCCCCATGGGCTGCCTTGTTGTTGTTGTTTTGGGGTGTGTGTCCCTGGCCTCAGAAACATGGGAGGCGTCCAGTGGGGGAGGAAGGAGGCTCTTCCACTTCCTTGTGGACCCATAGAGATTTCTGGGGGGGGGGGGGCTCAGTCAGGATCCTTACATTCCCGCATGTTCAAAAGAGACACATCCTGGAGACCCAACTCCAACCCCCCCTCCCCCCCGTGGACAGCCTGAGGGGATTTTCTATTCTCTAGGCCTGGGCCACAATACCTGGGGGGGGGGTTGGTTTAAATCTTGGGTCCTTTTTGAAATCCAAGTGGGGAAGCTTTTGTTTGGAGGTGAGATTGCAGGGACGGATGACCTTTCTTGTCCAGGCGGGTCAGAGAGAGCAAATCGCAGGGGAGGCTATTCCAAGGGGGGAGGCCAGCCCCACCGAACCTAGAGGGGGACCTCTTAAGATAGGGGGGAACCGCTTCGTGGAGGGCGGGAAGAGGCAGGGGAGGGATCAGGTGCATTTCCCCAGAAGAGGAGGTTTGCCGGCAGCCAGTTCCGAGAAGAAAAGGATGTGGTTTGAGAAAAAAAGGGGAACTGCTTTTGAAGGAAGGAAGAGGCTTCCAATCAGGGAGGTTTTGTTCAGCCCCCCTCAAACTCGCTGAAGGAACCCCAAAAGGCCCCAGGAGTGGAAGGCGAAGAGGGGCCTTTTGGTGTAGGTGAGTTTCCAAACCAGGCGGTTTTACCTTTGGGAAGAAAGAGGGAAGCTGGGTGCCTTTTTTTAAGTTCAGAAGAACTCTTTTTCTGTGGGGTGAAGGTCCATGTAAAGAAAAAAAGGGGAGGTGAGGAGGGCGAGGAGAGGGAGTTGTGATGGGAAAAGACTCATCCCCTGCCAGCCTTAAGGGAGGAGGAAGGAGAGGGGCTCTTGGGTGGCTTAGTCGGATTAATGAGGTCGGGAATAAGAAAGAAAGAAAGAAAAGAAAGGGGAGAAAGGTTGCATCACCTGATGTAGGGCTTGTGTGTGTGTTTGTGTGTGTGTAAGTGGTAAACCCTTCTTTTAATATCTCACATACTTTGAAACCCCTGTTCTTATTAAGTGGCTTTACAAGCCCAGCTCTTGTAAACTCAAGTCTGTTGGGTTTTTTTAAGGGAGTCCATCCATCTCGTATCTGGTCTTCCTCTTTTCCTGCTGGCTTCAGCCTCTCTCAGCATTATGGTCTCTTCTTCTAGAGAAGCGTGTCTTCTCAAGGTGTGCCCAATTGTAGGGCAGACGCAATTTCAACATTTTTGCCACCAGAGATCACTCAGGCTTGATGTGCTGTACCTGACAATATACAGGGTGTCCACAAAGCTCTTCTCCAGCACTACATTTCAAACAAATCCCAATATTTTTTGGTCATCTTTCTTCACTGTTCTGCTTTCATACCCATACACTCTAATTTAGTACATAACAACTTTTATTAGTTCTTTTACTAGTGTATCTTAATAGATATTGAGATAGTAAGTGCCAGTTGAGGCGGGGGGGAATGGGGTAGTCTACTGTGGGGAGTCTTGAAGCTAATTCTGCCCTGGAAGTCCCTGCAGTTTTTTCACTGTGTAGTTAGAGGTTTTAAAGTCATAACATTTTTCTTATTCTGGCCAAAAACAATACCTTGAACATGGCTTTGCTTGCATAAGAAATTAAAGCAATGGTCCTATAGTTCCTGCACTCCTTGGCATCTCCTTTCTTGGGGATTGGAATGTAGATTGAGCGTTGCCATTCCTACTAGGGAGTTATAAGTCAGGTGCAGCTTGACAGCATGTAAGAACAACAAAGGAAAAAAATATATAGATGTACTTTGGGGGATTAGACTGAGACAAGAACTTTCTGTGTCCCACTGGTGCAACATGTCAGAAACTTTCAGGGAGAGACGAGTGCTTTTGCCACCAAGGGCATTCAGGACACTCACCTCCCAGGCCAAAAGATAAGTTGCATTTTAAAATAAGCCTTTGAATGGTGTCGGGTGTTGGCACCTCCTGCCCTTCCAGACTTAGTAAAAATAAACACATTTGGCTGCATGGCAGGAATGCTGACATGTGCAAAGGAGATTGTAGTTTTTTTAAAAAATAACCTTTTCCACATTTGGTGGTCTATTGGTCAGCCTGCTCTTTGGACAATGGGTAGAGCAGAAACTGTTGCGGAGTTTTAATTCCTTTTTGCCACGCAGTACAAGTGTAGGGTCGGACAGTTTCCCACATAGTCCGCCTCTTTTTCGTTAACTGGCACTTAAAGTCTCAAAAACTCTGAGACATTTGTAGAAGAAAGATTTTTAAAAAAAATATATATTTACTCACAATTGCTTGAAATTACAGACTTGTGTGTGCTGCTTACTTTTCTGCAGACATGCTTAGCAACCAACTGAACAGATCAACAGCAAACAAACAGCTGTCTCCAAGAGACAAAAAGAGAGGGAAAATTAACACCAGAGAGGTGGAGCTCTCTTTGAATTCAACTCTGGAAGGAACGGTTGTTTGGTGCTGAATACACAGACAATCACCCCAGCCCAGAAGAGTTCCTCTCAGTCACACAACTACAGACAGCATGCAGGGTTACGAACAAATTCCAACAGAAACAGGCCCTAAATGAGGATATTCGCCTATTAAGCTGTTTCATTACAGGGGGATCCGCTCAAAAAGGAAGTGCCTTTAGTTCCCAGGAAATACATTTCTCTCTCCCTCCCCCCGTTCTAGAGCAGAACTGGACAGAATATTTCATTCAGTATTTAACTTGTAATGGTTTAGCCCAGGACCAAACGGAAAGCCTGATTTCCCCTCCAGGATTAGAGTACTGAAGACAAACACGAGCGGATTTTGTGCAAGGATATTCTTGCAAGCAAAACATCCAGTAACCTAAACAAAATTCCGGCATTTTGCCTGCGCAGGGAAGACGATCTTCACCCGTTTACCCTATGCTCCCTTTCTTCAACCACTCCAGTGGGTGCACCTCAGTTCAGCTCATCCCTCTCTGTTCTTCCTGGGCACCACACCTAATGTTTTAAAAATCCAGATTGCATTTTTTTAAAATAAACTGGATGTTTCAAGGCTTCTGGCAGTGCCGCCTTCCAGCATGACAGCAGGCGCCTACCTTTTTTTTTTTTTTTTTGGTCAAAAGCCTTTATTTTGAGAGGGTTCCCTGCAGCCACGTGGGAACCAAGATGGTTCGGCTGATGCCGAGCCAGGCCACACAGCCACGTGGCTCGGCAACAATAGCTCTTTCCGCTCTTGAAAAAAGAGAAAAGCTTTTTCCGTTCTGGACCAGAGATGCTGCCTGGATTCCAACTCGGGACCTTTTGCCCATGAAGTACAAACTCTACCCCTGCTGCTGAAGGGACGGTTCCTTCTCTAACCTTTCAAATTTCCTTTCTGGAAGCCTGTTTCCACTCTGAAACATTAACTGCTGAGTTAACCGTACCTGGAGTCTTGAGTTCTGCAGCTTTTAGATTAAAATGTGCACATTTCCCAGAAATCCTCTAGAGTGCAGATTTTTAACCCAAGATATTCCCCCCTTTAAAAAATGCAAATATGTTTAGCACTCAGTGCCAATGAGTTGCCCTCCATCAGGATCCCTTTTGGGTGTTCCTGGGGTTGGCAGTACAGCTTCCCTTCTTCTTCCTCCTCCACCGATGACTCTGACGAAGCCCTTGCTTGCCAGCTGCTTCTTCCACTCCCCCTCTGGGCTGGAAGTCCCAACCGGGAGCTCTGCCTTCTCTCTTTTCCCTCCCGGAGCCCAGATCGACAGGCAGCTCCCGACGGCGGTGGCCTCCCCGATGGCGGACTCTCTCCTCAACCACTCCTGGCCCTCCTTCTCCAGGCGATGGATGAAGAGATGGTCCTTCAAGCGAGGTAAGGACCCACAGGGCAGGATCTGGTCTTGCAGGTGCTGGGGAAGGCAACCAGATGGCCTGCTTGCACATCCAGCCTAGAGGCAGGCAGCCAGTGATGTAAATACTTTACTCAGCTCTTCCTTCCTCTTCATCTGGGTCCCCTAAGAGCTTCCCAGCTGGCTCAGCCATGGCTGCCTCGGACCACCAGAACCTCTGGTGTGATGTCACTGGGAGAAGTCGGGTGGCTGTCTTGATGATGTCCACTTATGCCACAGAGCAGGATCATGGCTTTCTGGCACAGCCCAGAGAGACACGCCACTCACAACCAAGCAACAATAAAAACAAACAAATTTACTTGGGTTTAGGTTTCTGGCTGGGGAGCCAGAAGCTGGGAGTTTGAATTCTCCACTGTGCCTCCTGGGAGAAGAGCCAGCCTGGGTGGCCCTGGGCATGTGGCACAGGACCAGAGGACCCCCCCCCCCCAGAAAGGAAGGGGAAACCACTTCTGAGTCTTCTCTACCTGGAAAACTCTGGAAAAAAATCTCAGTGGGGCAAATTGACTTGATAAGCACACTGTTATTAAGCTGCCTGTATAGCTCAATGAGTTAGGCAGAGGCTGGGAGTTCGAATCCCTACTGTGCCTCCTGGGAGGAAAGCCAGCCTGTGTGACTTTGGGCAAGGTGTATGGTCCCAGTGCAGCCACGCAAGAAGAGAATGGCAAGCCATTTCTTGAAATGGCTTAATCAGAATTGATTAACTTGATGGCACATGATTATTTTTAAATAGGCACAGATTTATTTCACGCTTGGTCTCTCAAGCGTGGTCTCTCAAGTGCCACAAGACTTTTACTTTTTCATTGTGGTTGTGTCTTTGTGGCATGTGCCGAGACAGATTTAACACAGTTCCTTCTTCAAAAGCCGACCACTGTGTGCTTGTTAAGCTTGGGGAGTCCATGGTGGAGCCACAAATAGGAAAAAGGGTTAGAAGGGCCACAGTCTGTTGGCCGGGTAGCTTCCCCACACAGACCTTTTTTATTTCTAAAAAAGTAGTTCATTCCTGATTCTCATCATATTGTTTGAAAAGTAATTAATTGATGCTGCTGTTTGTGGTGTATAAAGTTGCTGGTTAAATTGCTTATAGTTTTCAATTACTTTTGGAGGCGGTGGAAAGACTTGGGGTTGCTACAAGAACTGCATTAAAGATGGAATAACTCCTCTCAAGCAGTCCCTGAAAATTCCATTTAAAATAAGAAGGAAAAATAACTAGAAACCCTTGGTGGTTACAGCAATAAAGGAACTTTATTCCTCCTCATTACAACCGTATTGAAATGTGACTTGGTTACACGTACATTACAACCGCTGTCATCCCATGATGTTCCTCGTTAATTCTGCAACTTGTTACTTCCAAGATCGGGCCCTTCTCTCGCTCGCTTCCACTGTGTTTTCTGTACCTCTGAGACCTCAAAACCTTGGATCCTTCTTTCACTGGTTCATGCTGGGGTGAAGCATCACAGGTATCTCTTTTCTGGTTTCACACAACCTCCTTGCTCCTTTTTCCGGGTGGCCTTTCTTGTGACCGGCCTCCCCATGCTTGAGACCTGGGGAACGAGAACCATCATCCATCTGGCCCGCGTTCTGCAGCCATCACCTTTTATGGTTCCATCAGGGTGTGTGTCAGGCGACAGAGCAGAATCTGCTTAATGTCTGGGAGCAAAGGGAGGAAGGTGTATGAATCAATGAGACACAAGAGAGGTGGTGGAGGAAATTCTCTGTGGGGTCGGATGTCTTTAAAACTGCTTGGGATCATTCCTTCTGGGTGTTTTTGTTTTGAACCTCCAACGCTATGAATCGGCCACCTCCAAGCGGTCTTCTCCTCAACAGTCCTGCTCAGCTCTTCCAAACTCAAAAGTTGTGGTTTCCTTTAGGGAGTCTGTCCATCTCGCGTTTAGTCTTCCTCTTTTCCTGCTGCCTCCCTCCTTCCCTAGAATGATGGTCTTTTCCATCGAATCCTACCTTCTCGTGAGGTGCTCAAAGTAGGATAGGCTCTGTTTCGTCCATTTTTGCCTCCAGATATAGTTCAGGCTTGATTTGCTCCAGGACCCACTTTGTCTTTCTGGCAGTCGAGAATACCTGCAAAGCTCTTCTCCAGCACCGTATTTCAAACAAATCAATTTTTTTCCTACTGGCTTTTTTCTCTGTCCATCTTTTGCATAGTTGTTAGGAATACAGAAGTGTGGATGATCTTAGCTTTGGTCTCCAAGGACACATCCTTGCACTTGACAATCTTTTCTAGTTCCTTCATTGTCACCCTTCTGAGCCTCAGCCTTCTTCTGATTTCTTGGCTGCGGTCTCCCTTAGGATTGAGGCCTGAACCAAGGTATACAAAACCATGAACCATTTCACTCTCAGGGAGCCACGGGGAGGGGGAAGCTCACGTCATCTTCCACATGAAGCCATTCAGATATTTGAAGACAGATCGGCTGCTCCTTCCCTGTTCACCATCTCAAACTTGAAGAAATGCCTCCTGCCCCAGAAGATGTGGCTCAACAACCGTTGCAAATGCTTGGTTCGAGACCTTAACCACTGAGCTATCCTGCCTTCCATTTCTGACTTACAGCAGCCCAATAAAGGAAGCCACAGCCTTGGGTTTGCAGGAGCCGGGAAGGGCTGTCAAGAATCGGATCTTTTGAAGGCCGTTAATCCATAAGATTGGCATGAGTTGAAAACAAATAACAACATAAACAACTTGGCTGCGGTGGGAGGGGTATGAGGACCAAGTGAAAAGGGATACAGAAAGTGACGGTTGCATTTGTAGCATCACTGGTCACGAACCTTCAAAGTGTTAGATACATAAATGTCCTGGGCAATACCAGATGTCACTAGCTAATCCTAATCATCTGTCGGCTAATGCACAGCAAGTAGGCGTTTGCCTTTTGAAGTGTTAAAGCAGTGTTTCATTCACAGGAAAGAGGTGCCTGTGCTGGTGTTTTAATGCAAATAAAACAGCTTTTTGCCTCTAATTATTATGGTGTGTGTAAAATACATAGGTACTGTATATAGAGAAGAATGTTCTCCAAAGCCTGATCTCTGTTTAAGCCTCTGGTTGTACCTTGGGATTTGTGAAGGAAGCAAATTAATTTGCAAACTTTGATGACACTCAGCTGTTAAGGATTTTCCAAAAGGGCTGTTTCTCCCCGAGGAAAGGCAGGCAGGGAAGCTCTCTGGGCAGCACTTTTAGTCCTGGTCTTTCTCTCATTAGAGGGTTGCCCCTTGTTGCTAGTACATAACACAGCCCTCCAAAGATCTCTCTCCCTCCCTCTCTGTTTGTAAGTCTAGAAGCGCTTTCTCTCTCCTGAATCGTAAAATTAAGGTGTAATGTTTGCATTTCTTCCCCTTTCCCTCTCCCGCTTTTGCTGTACTTTTGCTGAGTTTGTCTCTCTCCATGGTACTGCTGCAGGAACCAGGCATGGCTTCATGGCTGTCAAGCAGACCAGAGAAGAACGTTGAGGGGCCCGGACGGTGGAGTAGGGTGGGGAAACTGGCATGCTCAGCCTGGCCGGGCCTTACACATTGCCTAAAATGGTCTCCCTCCAGCCATGGGCACTTCAGCTCTCTCCAGCGCACAGCTTGTTCCGCTGTTTATGGGGTCTGATTTATCACATGTTGAGGCTGGAGCGCCTGAAGGGAAAGGGGTCAGTTTGAGGATAAACACTGAGCATTCGGGGTGGCTTCGGGGGCGACTCTTGGAGTAGCAAAACCACTGGCATTGGTCCCAAGCCCGGAGGCAGAGGAAAACATCTCGGCAGCTGCTCAGTCGCTCAGGGGTTGAGGCGTCTGGCTGTGGAGACAGAGGTTGGGAGTTTGATTCCTGCACAGTGCCTCCTTGACAGGAGTCGGACTTGATGATCCACGGGGTCCCTTCCAGCCCTATAGTTCTGAGATGATAATTATTAGCAGGAACGTATTCCTTGTTCCTTACACTTGTGATGAAGTGAGACGCCAACCCTGAAGACGGTCAGCAGCCCCGGTTTGAGCCCAGCGGCTCCTTCCTCCTTGTTTCTGCCGCATCTCTGGCTTCCCTCACAGGTCTGTGTGACACACTCTCTCTCTTTCACCCATTCCCCCAGCCTGAACTTGCACCCGGGCCTGTGGAAATGTTCAAAGAAAATGAGGAAAAAGTTCAGTTCAGAGTCTCTCGAGTGACATTATTCTAGGAAAGGAGAGGTTAACGTAATACGTACAGAAAAGCTTTGCTGGGTTGAAAGGGTAAACTTTCCATGACCTGAGCTGCTTTGCATGTCAGATGAAGGCGTGCAGGCTGTTGGTAGTGAGTTGAACTTTAAAAAAAACCCACATGAACTGTACAGATGTTAGCTTGGCGACATGACATTGCATATGAATTACACTCCTTTGCCTGTGTTTAGGATTTCCACCTTGCCAAATGCCAGCATAAAAATATCTCCCTGCGTTTTCTTGGCACAGCTTTCCCAGGCAGTGGAGGAGGTGAAATGTCATCATTCTGTGGTTTGTGTTTTGCTTCTCCTGCGCCAGGACAAAATGGTTCCCAAGTTCATTGTGAAAGGGTAACAGCAGAATGCAGAGTTGAAATACACCGCTTTGGAAATTCAGAAGGAAATTCACATGAACTTCCACCTTTGCATGCTCGCAGGAAAAAAACAAGCCCTGTTAAACTGCAAGAATGAAACAGCCTGGTGGATTGATAAAAGCTGAGGATGAAATACAGGAGTCAAGCATCGGGGGCTGTGAGATGCAAGGGGAAGACCATGGACGCTTCTTCTGTGGACTGTTGTGGCCACTGACTGCTGGGTCTTTCTGGCCTGCTGCCCTTCTAACTGGCTTCTCTTCTACTCCTTCAGGGTCTGAGTCCAAGGTAGCCGCCCGCGGTTTCCCCAGGAGCCACACCGTCTCCGCCTCGAGCTACAGCAGCAGCCCGGACACCTTGATAGCCGAGGATGAGGTCTTCTTCGGCAGCATGGCAGAGGAGAGGGTAAGGGAGTCAGGCCACGACTGGTTCGGCCCCAGCTGTAGAGTGAGCGGGGCTTGCCCCGGGACATCTGGGCTGGGCTGCTTGCTTCCGCTCCGTATCCGAAGGCCTTTCGTGCCTGCAAAACAAGCCAGTTGGAAGCAGACCTCAAAACCAGGGGCCTCCCAACCATGGCTGTCTGGATGCTGAGGGGCTCTGGTTTCCGAAAACCCCGGCCAAGGTGCCTCCAACAGTGAGGGGTTCTGGGTCTTGTAGTCCAACCCCAGATATATACGTAGCTGCTGTCCTCTGATCTGGAAGCGGAGCAGGGTTAAGCCCGGTTAGTATTTGGATGGGAAACCATCAGGGAAGGGTGAGGGAATCTCTAGAGAAGGCGGGGACCCCGGACAGCCACTGCTGCCAGTCAGAGTTGGCAACCCTAGCCTTGGTGGGCCAAAGCAGGAGGCAGCTTCCTAGGTCCCAAACACAGGAACTATTGAACCTAAGTAGGCAAAACGAAGCTGTCTGGCTGTAAGGAAGGGTGCCCCCCACCGTATCCAACTCTTTCTTCCCTTGGCAGGAAGACGCCACCTCTTCTCCAGACCGGGATCCCGTCCACAGCAGTACAGAAGACCTCTTGTCCATAGACTCTGCCCTCCAGGGTTCGGAGTATTACAAGGACCTGGGGCTGGCTGAGTCCACCGAGACTGCTGGGGGCACGGTGGTGACGCCAGAAGGACGGTCCCCAGAAGGACCCAGAGGCTGCGGGGCCCCGGCCTCCGACTTCAACAGGGCTTCCCCCAGCTTGGAGGCTACCTGCCATTTCCTGGACGACTCCTGCGTCTGTTCCTGCAGCTACAGGAGCCAGGGAAGATTGCCTGGAGCTGACCTGCAGGAGGGTGAGGACGCAGCCTTGCCCGGTTCGGTTAGCCCCCTGTCCACTTCCCGGTGGCACAACTGGAAGATGCCGGTGTCTCCAACAGAAGCCCAGGACAGGTGAGTCTAGGTGGGGAAGAGAGTGAGCGGACCGCAGAGCCCCAATCACGCAAACAGAGCATAAAAATGCTCTCAATCAAAGTAGTAGTATTCCACACCTTGTTCTTAAGGCTCTGCCTTGCCACCCAGGTAGCGGGATCTAGCCCTCTTCTGCTCTGCCCGTCTTAAGCCGGCAGGGTCTTGCACAGGCTAAATCCAAACAAGATAGCAACTCAGGTTTAGCAGAGGATTGTTTGTTTATTTATTTAAAATATTTCCACCTCTCTTTTCTCCTTAAAAGGAGCCTAAGTTTTTGTTGTTGTTGTGATTCCCCTTCAGGGGACCTAGGAGTTTCTGCTTGTGACCTAGAGTCTCATGTTCTGCACGATTTGTCTTCGGTTCATTTTTTTCCCATGGTTAACTCGTGGACTGGGCTTTCCTCTAGCACACTAAGGTCTTGCAAAGGTTATTCTTGGTTTCCTGAACACTTCTCTCGTGGCTGATAATCTCATGTAAGGCACCCGTAAGTGAGAAGAGTTAGAAAATCTGCTTCCAAGAGGGAGGAACTATGAAAAGGAGGGTGTTTGGCCTGAGGGCGAACCAGAATGGAGTGCTTGGCCAGAGTGGTGGGATGGGGGTGTGGAGGGACTATTTTTAACTCCGTGTCCCTCCTTATAAGGTACCCAGGGAAATTATCTTCCCCACAGATCTTGGCAGGGCTTTCAGTCAAAAGGGAGCAGGCGCTGGGCAGCTGGCGGTCTGGTCGAGTGAGGGACCACGGGGAGGGGGGAGAGAGAGGGAGGCCTAGACAAATTCTGCTTGTCCTTATCCTGGGGGGGGGGATAGCCTCTCTTTGGAGGGCAATCCTCTTTTTGAAAGTGTGCTCCATGGAATCCCTCTCGGGTCAAAAATGTTAAAGCCGAGGCCGTCCACCTTTGGGCATATCCTGAGAAGGCAGGCTTCTCTGGGAAAAGACCCTCCTGCTGGGAAAGGTGGAAGGCAGCAGGAAAAGATGAAGACCAGCATATGAGATGGATTGACTCCCTCAAGGAAGCCATGGGTTTTGAGTTTACAAGAGCTGAGCAGGGCAGTGGAGGACAGGACGTTCTGGAGACTGGAGACAAACATTTTGATACCCCTCCACAGCCTGTTGGATTTTGTGGTAGAATTTTGAACGTCTGGTTCAGTTCCTCTAGCTGTGCCGCACAAGTGCGGAGATGCACGGAGCAGAATCGCCTCAAGTTCCACAGAGTAGCCCACCTCTTTTCTCTATAACTGGCACTTAATAACATTAATAGTAGAAATAAATAAATAAAAGGTCTCAGTACTTACAGTTGATCAAACAGCAAACAGATAAACATGACTGCTTTCAGCAACAGATTTCAACGGATGCTTAGAGAGGGGAAGAGCTCACTCCGCCGAGAGGCCGGGGCTCTTTTTGAATTCAGAGACCGGAGGATGCTATTGGCTCGTGCTGTGAGTGATTGACAGTCACTCCGGCCCAGACAGGTCGCTTCCCAGCCACACCTACCGGAGGCAGCATGCAAGGTTGCAAAACTCCCAACTGATCTTGAGGGCCTGAGAAGAAATCAGGTGTTGTTGGTTTCAAAATGGAGGTGGCAGGATTCCTTCTGCATGGCTTTCTCGCCCTCAGGTTGAGCTTAGATGCCTTGGAGATCAGGAGTGATACAGAGCTGGAGGTGGACCCCAAGGAGAACGGCCCTCCCTTTTTGTCCCCCGTGCTGCCCCCGACGGGGCCAGCCACCTGGAGCGGCATCCCTGGGCTGCCGGTGGAACTTGAACCCTTGCGCCTGGACCCCAAGGGGGCACCCGGGTGGGCTGCAGTGGTGGTGAGTCTCTGTGGCGTCTGCTTTTCTGTGGGGCAAAGGGTGGGTGGGGGCAGCAGGGCAGGGGGGACCACCGGCCTCCCTCAAGAGTCATCTTTGCTGGTAAGACTGGGTGACCCCAGGGAACTTTTTCCAAATCTGATGCCCCTCGGTTGCAGTGAACATAGGTGCCCCCCTAAGCTGTGCTCCTCCTATAAGGGGGCCGTGGTCAGAGGCCACAGCCGGCCAGTTCCGACGTCCTTGTCCTCCTTCTAGGACTGCAGAAGCCATGGGACGCGTCTGAGGTCCCGGTCCGTCCCTTCCCCCAGTGACGGTGTCCCTTCCCAACAGATGTCTGAGAGTCTGGAGGTCTCGCTTCCGGGCCCTGTGGGTCAGTAACCCTGTTTCTGCTTCATTACTTCCTCTCCCCCTCTGTGCGCGAACGTCCAGCGAAGGGTGGGTCATTCTGGATCGCCTACTGGCGTTCTGAGCTCGTTCAAGACACCTCTTTGTTCTGAACCTTGAAACAGCGGATATTCCCAAACCAGTTCAGTGACGGTTCTGTCTTTGATTTCAGGGATTGCGCCGCCTGTGCTGGATTTGATCGAAAAGGATTGTGTCAGTCCGGAACAAGTGTAGGTGCCCGGGCAGGGAGTGCTTCCCTGCTGCCCTTGCACCTTGGCGGTCCTGAAGGCCTTGGTGCCCCTAGGGCTCTGTACGGGAGGGCCCCCATATCCGTGGGATCAGTATCCGCTGATTCATTTATTCACAGCCTGAACCTATTACATTAAAAAACCCTCAGAAATATTTCCAGGGTGTATTTCCCAGAGTGGTGCACTAGAGGGAGCCTGAGATCAGGTGATGCAGAGGGTTTGATCCTTCCACCTTTTTTCTCATCCCCTGGGAGGGGGCTTGAAACCGATCCCCCGTGGATACCACGGCCCTCCTGTACATCTGTTTAGTCCACTTTATTGAACCAAATGCTCTGCAGACAGAAAGCAGAAGTTTTTATATGGTAATGAAATAAACTCGCGGGAAGCTTCTTTGAGTTGTGCTGTTGTAGGTTGTGGTGCAAGAATGAAATAATTGCCCCCATGGTGTGTAGTACCTGGAAGGGAGGGGAGAGAAATAAACACTCCATCAGTCTAGTCTCTAATCAGGTCTCTTCTCCCAACAGGCTGATGGTTCAACAGGTACTGAAGGAGCTGACAGAGTATCACAGGTGAGTCTGGGGAAATGAACTGCTCCGGGGATGCTCGGTTTCTTTACCCAGCTGGAGGAAACTCCTGGCCTCCTGGATGTTTAAGAAAGACAACTCCCCCAACGTGGCTGGCTTGTGACAGTAAGAGTCATGGTGGTGCCAGGAGGAGCCCCGAGCGGCCGACTCTGGTCTCCAGGGACGCTGTGGAGACCTGAGGAGGGACTCAAGGAGAGAGACAGTCGGGGTCCTGGCAGGGGGACCCTAAGAGTGAGAAAGGGGGGCCCAGCAAGAGCCAGCCCCCTGGGCCATCAGGTAATCCCCTTCCTTGATGCCAGACGGAGAGGCGGAAAGCATTCTGGCATCCTAAAGGTTTCCAGGCTTGCCAAAGGCTGCCCACCTGCTCTGAGCACCTTCTCTGACCGGTTTCTCATCCCCACCCTCGCTTCCAGCCTGCACCCAGCATTGGCCGTCTCACTGATCTCATGGAGTAAAGATGGGCATGGTTCTAGGTCCGCTGAGCTTTTTTTCACGGTCTTGCCCCAGGCCTCGATCCAGGACGCAAAACACCCGCTTGGGAGCAGCCAGCACATGTGGCTCCTCTCCTGCCTTGTAATCTCTCTCCCCCTCCCTCTGGTGTCTCTGTGACAGCACTAAGCAAGGCCTGGGCGCCCCTGAATGCAGCTGTGACGGGTGCCAAAATGTGACCTGGTTTGAATTTCTCTCAAACGAGTAAGTGATGTGGGTCTGTGTGTGGCGGCGGGCGAAGCGTGGCCAGGGAGGGCCATGGAAGGCGGTGCTGTTTTCTCCCGGCCCCGCAGGATTAAAGAGATGGTGTTTGGATCAGACCTGGGTGCAACCCATGGCATGCAGCATCATTACCTGGAACTATATTAGGAAGAAGGGCCACGGCTTTCTGAACAGCATGATCCATCACTGGAACACAAGACTTGTAATAGGGTTCACTATTATCCACAATTCTCAGTATCCACAGAGGGGTTGGAACAGATGCCATGTGGACATACTGTACTATCTGTGAACGAGTCTTTGATTTACTTAAATCACAATTTTTAACATTCCTTTATTTATCAATTTTGAGGGTAGTTTTTGGGAGGGGGTTTTCTGTGTGCATTTGCTGTCATTTTTAAACAACTAATGAATGCCCTGGGGATAGGCCTTCTGTCAGCTGCCCTGGAAGCTCGGTGTACCAAAGGCGCGGGAAATAAACATCCTAAAACAAATAGCATTTTACCCCGGGCCAAACCTCGTGGTTGTTTCTCTCCTCTGGCAGGAAGGAAGAGGGTGGGAAGAGCGACAAAGCTGAGAGGGGCACCAAGGTGAAGCGCCGCCTGAGTAATCTGCGCAACCGGGTCACCGGATCGTGGCAAAAGGAGAAGGTGAGAACCCTGGCCGGCGAAGGGCCTGGGGCGCGCTCGGCCAACAGCCTCTTTCTCCTCCTCACATGAAGTGCAGGAGTCCCCATTCTGTTGTACTAAAGCAGCCACTCGGAGGAACGTGGCTGGGACTTCAGGGGAGGGGTGGGAGGCCCAGGCTTGGAAAAGCTTGCTTTTTGAGCTGCCTCTCCCTGGGGGGTGGGTTTGCATGGATATTTTGCTGAGTTTTTTTTCCTGGGTTTTCTTTTTGTCTCCCCCACCACATGGCCTAGGGGGTGGGGCTTTCTGATTTAAATGAGCGTGTCCCAGGACCGCGCGCCATTAGGCACGCGAAATTCTCAAATTCTCTGATTCTATCTCTGGCCCTAATATGGTAAATAGGAAAGCCAGTTAGATTTGCACACACCTTGGAGGCAGGAAAGTTCTAAGGGTTGGATCATACTTCCGCGCTATTAAAGAGCAGACCGGGTAGGTGGGGCTCGTCAGCCGTAGAAGGCAGCCCATCTAGAAGAAGGAAAACTCCAATTTCAAACCTCCACTGCCTTGTGGCTATATCCACTCATGGAAAAGGCTTCAGGAGTTAACCTAGAGGCAAAATCCAGAGCTGGAGTCCCGAAGGCAGTTTGTGTCGTTCTGCCAACTCCTGTAACGTTGCTGGAACCAGTTGTATTGGCTCTCACCTTTCCATTGGACCATTTTAGCAACCCAGGCTTCATGCTCTGGAGAGGACACTCCTCGATTCAGAGCATGTTACCATAGTCTCTCGAGACTGAAGGATGCCTATGTATGTATGGTGGGGTTTGTAGTCCTAAACCAGCTCTGCCAAAGATCCTATGTTCAATATTTAGCTGCTTCCAGCATCTCATGGATAAGATCCAGTGCCCAACCAGCATGAAACACCTCCTTGTGTGTCGTGAGCAACACAGAAAGCAAGCCAAGGCGCTCATGGATCCTGGGAATCATGCAGCATCCTGGGAGGGGGGACGATGTGTCCAGTTGCTCAAAGACCTTGACAGGGTGCCCTTTTCTATCTCTCTCTTTCTCTCTAGGGTAAGAACAAAGACCGGGAGAAGGAACCAGCGGAGGCGGCTGAGCGGATGCAGGCGTCGCTTGGGCAGGGGCTCGCCCTCGGGGCTTTCTCCGACGGCTCCCTTGGCGGCAAGGCCTCACTGAACGACGTGGGGCTGCTATGCCAGAGTGAGTCGGTCCCTCCTGGGTCTCCTACGTGGGGTGGGGAGCTCGCCCAACGCAGCCCATCTGCTCGCTTGCGCGCCCTGCGCCTTCCACTTGGTCTGAGCTTTGACGTTATAGATGACCCATCATTACACGGGGGAGGCTTCCTTGAGGGCTGAAAACATCTGAGTGCAGGAGCCTTTTGCAGCGCCAGTGGGGGGTGGGGGAGTATAATATTATGTGTATTATGCCGTCTAATGATATATATATAATTTGTAATCATGATTTCTGCTACCCCGTCCCCATTTAATGGCTAATTGGGACGAAGGAGCAGGCCCGGAAGTCAGGGTGACGCCGTTGCCAGGGCAACCAGTCCTTGGCGTGATTACGTAATCCCGCGAGAGTTGGTCCTGTGTGATCCTTGGTGGAGAAGGGAAAGGGAGGGACGAGAGAGGAACGGGAGCTTTGAAAAGGCCGGCGTGAGAGGAAAAGGAAACCTCGTGCGAGATCTCGCGAGATCTCTTGAGACCCGGGGGGACGGGGCTCGAAGGTGAGAGCAGAGCCGTGACTGAAGGGAGCTTCGCCGAATTCCTCCTCCCTCTCGCGAGATTTCCTAGAACGCACGCCTCTTTCCTTCGCTTTGCCCTTCGAAGGGCAGGGCTGTCCCCTGAGGAAGGGACCCAGAGCCCCGCGAGAACTGGGGAGGCTCCCGCGGGAAGAGGCACGTCTCGCGAGAGAGCGTGCTTTCCCAGGGGGGAGGTTCCGAGGAGGCGAGGCCCGGCCGGGACACCTTCGGGGGCGGAAGAGGGACCGCCGCCGCCGCCTCCTCCGCCGGCGGAGAACGGCGCTCCGGCAGGTGAGGCGGGGCCTTGATGACGTCCTGCGACGTCATTGCCCCAGCCCCTCCCCCGCATGGGGGGGTCCCCTTGGGAGGCGCCCTTAAGGGGCTGGTTGTTTTAAGTTACTAGTCTTCAGGGGTCCAAACCTGCGGTTCTCACCTTCCAGACCTGGTAGGAGTACAACTCCCATCAGCCGGCCCAGGGTCATGGCGGCTGTGGTCCCAGAGGCACATCCGGAGGGCCACCGCTGTCTCAATCCAGAGCTCGACTGGTCCTTTTTTAACGAGGGTGATAGTGGAGGGGGAGCCTACAGTGCCCATAATTCACCAGGATTATGGGCACTGTAGTCTAAGGAAGTCAGGCTGGGAAGCTCTGTCTTAATACCAGCCAAGCCATGGTTGGTTTCAGGGCGGCCTTTTCAGCTTGCAAGACAGCGTTGGGGTGGAATGAGATGCCCTTTGTTTTTCATTTTGTTTAATTTTATGTATCTTCTGAAAGCTTACAGTATTTGCATAATCTTACTCTTCTTGCAGTGTTTTATTTTATTATGTTGTAAACTGCCCAGAATAGTGCATTGCAATAAGGGAGTGGTATACAAATTAAATAAATCAATTAGCCTCCTTCAATGGTGGGGTGCTCTGTTTGGGCATGGATTTATGAGTTAATGGATAAGTTTCGTTTTTGGCAGCCTGCTGATATGGACCAGGTCCTTGGACAGGCCACCATTTGTTGGCTGGGTCTTCGCCCTCCCAGGCTTATCAAAGCTGGCTTAGTGGGTATGAGGAGCGGCGAATCCCTCTTTGCAGCAGGGTGGGATCCCTGCATGCTTAAAGGAGGCCGTCATGAAACTATTGCTGAAAAAGCCCCATTTACACCCCATGATATATGGGCCAATAAAGGTGCCACCTATTCCTGCATTTATATTATATGGCCTTGTCCGTGGGTTTTCTGCACAAGATAGGATAATGTCTCTTGTGCACAGGTAAAAATGCCCAGTAGAATTCTAAGCCCTGATTGATGATGGGAGAAACCTTCAGTGGTCTCTATAGGTTGCTTTCTGTAATTGACTGTGTTCAGCACGGTGTCCCTGATGTCATAGGCCCACTTAATCCACTGCCCTCCTTTTCTCTAAAGCTAAAAAAGAGGCTGTGCCCTCTCCCCTTCGCCCTGTGCGCCTTCTTTTAGTTGTGCTGGAGAAAACAGGCATGGCACCAGTGCAGAATTGGTGCTGATTTCGGTTGGAAAATAGAAGGGTTTGGAGAAGGGCTTTGGCAAAGTGGGAGGGAAGAATCTTTATTTTTGTTTGTTTGTGTGTTGATTTGGCCAAGAGGTCTCCAGCAACCCCCTGGCTTCCCATCCCAGGCGTCTTTCTGTGTGTCTCGCTCTCGCTCTCTCTCTCCCTCCCTGAGGCCTCAGGTTGTGCAGGCGGAAAGAGCTGGGTTCCGGAGTTGCTCCCAGTGACAGCTGGAGAGCCGGACCAAAAAGGGAGCAACGGCAGAAGGGGCATTGTGTGCTGCCTGCTGCTGGGCTTGACCTATTGAGTTACCTGCGAAGGGGGGAGTCGTTTGCCATGTCCCATCCTCGCTTCACTCTCCTCCTCGCCTGCAGCTTGCCTCTTGGGATGAAAAGATCTGGGGTTAATCCCCCTCTTCATAAACATTCTCCGTCACTGTTTATGTAGCAGGCCTTCGACAAAGACCAGGGAAGGCTCTCTGGGGAAGCAGTGCCTTGAGGCCGAGCCTGCTGCTGATTTGGGAATGTGGGGAGTGAATGCAAGAAGCGCAAGGCATAAGAGTTTGGTGGGTGTGGACCATGGGATGTGGTGGAGTCATAGCATGGTAGGGATGGAAGGGAGACCCGGAGGTCCTCAAGTCCAGCCCCCTGATGTTGGGCCCAGTGCTCGTCAGCGTTTTTATTAATGGCTTGGATGAGAGCGTGCAGGGAATGCTTGCAAAAAAGGCCAATACGATCTTAGCATGGATGAAAAGAAGCGGAGTCTCCAAATCCTATGAGATAATGGCCCGCCTCTATGTGGCATTGGTGAGTCTCATCTGGAGTCCTGGGCCCAGTTCTGGCCACCCCAAGGATGCCGTCAGACTTGAGCCAGTTCAGAGGAGGTCAGTGAGGATGATTGGGGGAGGGGGAGCTGGAAACCAAGCCCTCTAAGGAGCAAAGGCAGAAAGAACTGGGCAAGGTGACCCTTGAGAGAAGCAGACAGAGGGGAGACAGGAGGGCAATCCTCAAATCCTTGGAAGGTGGTCCTGCAGAGGAGAGGGGCAGGATCCATCCTCCACAGAGGCCCCTTCCAGCTCCCTTATTCCATTAGTCTATGGAGATCTAAAGCATCCCTGAAAGGTGGCCGTCTCCTGTGGAAAACCCCTCTGGTCCCTAGCTCGAAACCTCTCCTTCAGCCCTGAAATTCATTGCATGGCCTGGGACTGGTCACGCTGTTTGCGCCGGACCTACCTCGCAGGGTGGATGTGAATCATCTGGGAAAAATCTGGGCTGGGTTTGCCTTGATTTTACTGCAAGAATGTCGAAAGACTAACATAAATCAAGAGAAATCACTGGTGGGACAGAAATGTAACTCAACAAGTAAACCAGCAAGTTGCTTTTCTGGATTTTAGTTTCCAAAATGGTCTGACTGATGATGTGGCTCTGGGAGTTGTAGTGTCAAAATATAATAATAAACTCCCAAATGGAGTCATTCTCCACTCCCTAAAAACTAGAATAAGCTCATTCCAGGATGTGTTTGGGAGGCAGTCGTCAAAAACTCTCTCTGTTAAGTATTTCTGGTTTCTGTGCTTGAAACCTTGAAACTCTTGCCTGAGTTTTTTTTCTCTCTCTGTTGCTCTCTTATCTCAAAAGCCAGGTGTGTCTGGAGAAATCCCCCTGCTTAGGGGTTGTGGGTCTCTCTGCCTGCGGAGTCAGAGTTCAAATCCCCCACTGGGCCTCCTTGACAGTGGGCTGGACTAGATGATCCTTAGGGGTCCCTCCCAGCTCCGCACTTTTAAGATGATGGTGATGTAAAACATCCAAGTTAGGGTTCAGTAATTTAACTGGCTGAATAGCTCAGAGGCTTAGGTCTCTAGCTGCAGAGTCAGAGGCGAGGAGTAAAATATATTTTAAATACAGTACATTAAAGATTGACCACTTGGCTAGTGGGAGTCAGGCTGGGTGGCCACCAGAGCGGTGAGGCCACCAGGACCTAGGTTTCCTTGTCTGAGCCCCAGCAACAGGCTTATGTTTGACGCTCCCTCCCCAGGTGGACGAGAAGGAGCAGGACAAGTGGGTTTGCTTCTCAGCCTTTCCATTTCCTAGATGCTCCGAATACCTTTCAGGGTGAGGTCATGCTCACGACTCGGGAGTTCCTGGTCTGCCCCGTTTCTGGTCTGCTTCTGAACCTCTCCGGGGGGGCTGGTTTGGGTGGCCGGACGGAAGCAGGAGGGTGGAAAGGTGGGACGAGAGCCGGCCTGTCCCTCTGGGTCCAGGTACTAAGACGTCTCGATGCGCAGAAATTGTGGATGGCTGGAGGAGGGGTGTGTGTATGTGTGGTTTGGTGGGGGAGTTTGGCATGTCCCGGCCTGTCCGTCTGTTCTGCTTGCCCGGAGGTAGCCTGGGCGGAGTGTCGGACCCAAGCGGGAAGACGGGTCCCTGTCCCAAGAGGCTTGCTGTCCTTTCAAGGGGACGTACCAGTGATTGATTGGGAAATCAGTGTCAGGCGAGAGGGCAGAAAAGACGGGGAGGAAGGGGTCTAGAAACACACGCCTCGGATGATTTCCGCAGGCGATAGCAACCCTGTTGGGATGTGGCGCTAGGGTGGGTGAGGGAGCCCAGTGGTTCCTAACCCTGGGTAACCCCCAGCGTTCTTGGGCCACAATCCAGACCGAGGCAGCTTGTGGCAAAGGCTTCTGGGAGTTTTAATCCAGGAACGTCTGGGGACCCAAGGGTGGGAACCACAGGTGAACCCCTTTTGCCCACTTTCCCAGCGAAAACCAGCCTATTTGGGGGCATTTTGCTGAGCTTCTGAGGAGTCCTTTTCCGCCGCCTGTCGTTGCCGCCCTGGGGGTTTGCTGGCTGCAACCTTTGTAAGCCACCTGCTCTCAGTTCTCGGGGGTGGGGAGAGGGCTTGTGGGCAGCTCCAGCGAGCGTTGGCCGTTCGCTTCGAACCCAGCCTTTTCTCTGTTTTGCTTCTCGCGCAGTTCAGCTGGTCTGTCGCAAAGGACGCGGCATACAGCTTGCTGAAGCGTGAAAGGCTCCCTTCTGTCAGCCAGGCTGTGTCTTGTGTGAATTATGTAACCTGGTTCAGCGGGTCTTGGAGGCGGATGCTGCTGAATCCTGACTTCTGGGCTGGAGGGAGAGGGCAGGATTCAGCTGGTGGGACAAAACAGGCTCTGGGCAGAGGGAGTGTGCACAGTCCTGACAGGGTGATCGAGGCCACTTACAGTCAAGTTAGATACAGTATTTCCTCCTGTTCCCACTTCTCATTTCCATGTCTCTCTTGTGGGAGGAGGTGGCACCTCATGGATGCCAGGCAGGGCAGAAAATGTCTCAGAAGTCTGAATTTTGGTTAAATTCTTCTCGCTCTGCAGCAGAAGTGTAGCAGAATAGCCCTAAATCCCCCATAAATGGACCGCCCCTCTTTCTCATCCACTTGCGCTTACACTCTTGATAACTTCCTCTGAGACCTTAGAAGGAGAAATAATAAAAGATTTCCTTACTCACAATTGAACAGGGTGAACAGCAAACGGACAGACATGAGCCGCAGAGAAGCCCAGTGATAGCTCTCTGGACATCTTTTGGACTGCAGTTTCCATCAAACGCCATGTGGGGATAGCCAAGAGGGAGGGGTTGCTGGGATTTGTAGTCTTAACAGCTTCCAGAGGGGCATTAGTCGCCCCTACAGCTCTGAAGTGGGGGTCCTTAGCTGCTGTTGAGCTCCCTCTCCCCAGCCTCCTTCAGTCCCCTTTAGGAGTCTTTCTCCGCCCGCCTGGACCATTCAGTAGTTTGGCCTTGGGAGCTCCAGCGGTTAAAAGAGCAGCTCCTGGACCAAGCTGGGTTTTCCTGCCAGGTTTTGTCCCGGTTTTGGTTTTGCCCCGGCGTGGCCCACGGAGGAGGGGCAGCTTTGGAAGCCTTTGACATCCCGCTAAGCGAGGGTTTGAGTTTATGCCTGTAGAGTCAGGGCTTGGCAAAATGATGTTGCCGGCTGCCGTCACTAGAGTTTGGGAGTGCTGTGTTTTTAGACTCTCCGCTCCCAGAATGCATGGCCACGCTGACCAGGGGAATCCTGGGGCTTGTCCCCAAAAGTGGCCAGCAAAGACGCCGGAAAGAGATTCTCCAAGGCCGGTAGCCCCTTGGGCAGCCATGTTTGTGGGGGAGTTCGGGTGGGGGGATGGCCCACTCTTTCCTCTCTTGTCTCTTCCCTCCTCAGATTGTGCGGCCAGTGTCCACAAAAACTGCAAGAACCTCTTGCTTGAATGCAGCAGCGCCAAACCCAAGGTAAGGTCTGGCCTCTTCCGTTTTTTTCCTCCTTTTTTTCAAAAAAGAAAAAAGGCTGGGGGGACTCTGGTTCAGGAGACGGGGATAGCTCTGGTTGTGAGACTGTCCGCCTTCAAAGATTTGAGTGCCCCTGCTGCTAGAAAGCTCGGCCACTGGTGGCTCAAGGAAGTGAGCTGGTCTGTATGTTCAGGATGGAGAAACTCCAGCTGAAACCGTCTCTCCTGAACAATCCCAGTCCGGCCTTCTCACCAGCAGCGAGCAGGGCCATAGCCCCTTCCCTATGACACTCATGCTCTGGTGGTCCTTTGGCCTTGGGTTTTGTTTCAGTTTTTTTTTGCACATCATAAACACCCCATTTTTGTACGGGGGCCAATTCCAGCGTGGGGCTGCGTGTTCCAGTGTGGTGTTCCTCCGTGTCTCTCTTTTCCTTTCTTCATAGCCAAAAGAGTTGCAGCTTTGGCCGGCTGGCTTCCCCTCTTGTGCTCTCCAGACCTCCTGTCCAGGTTGGTGCAAATACAACTGCCACCCCAAACTCCCATCATCCTGCTTCTCATTTTGGCTATCAAAACTACTGTGTTGTGCCTTTTGAAAAATGCCTTTTTAAAATTGGGGGGGGAGGGGGGGAGGTTTGTGGAGCCATCCCTCATCTTCCCTTTTGGTGGAATGATCTGGAATCCTCTGGAAAGCACCTCCTGTCTGTCTCTGTGTGCCAACATTTTTATCCTGCTTTATCCTACCTTGCTGTGAGGCCTCAGAAAAGGGACAGGGAGGGAGATTAAAATCACAGAGCCATGGGAATCAATACGGCTGTTTTCCCCATCGATCGCTCTTCTGCGCCTGTGAAGCAGAAAATAAACTCAGCCAGATAATCTGCTTTTTCTTAAAGCTGTGCCCGGGGATGTGGTCCGATCAACGTTTTTAAAAACGAATGGTTTTGCGGGAGTGGTTCGGAAGAAAATAGAAACAGCCGGCGAGCTTCACAGAGGCCCCAGAGAAGGCAGGGAGGTAGCCGTTTTGGCTTGGGTCCTTCTAAGCACTTTCTTAGAGGTACCCCTAAGTCTTCTCTGAGACCCATATCCCTCTTACACACTTCTCTTTGTGAGGCAGAGGGACTGATTCAGCCAGTCACTCGGGGGAAGCCTGACTGATGAGGAAAGGTCTTGGCCTCCTTGTGGAAGAAGAGTCATGGGGTGGGGGGGAGCTGGTTTCCAGTGGCAGGGAGTTCCACAGTCTCTGGGAGCAGCCATGGAGAAGGCCCCTCACCTCCAAACTTTCTCCCAGCTTGGATCCCGGCCGTTCTTCTCCCTGTTCTGCCTTTTTAAAAAAATCTTGTTTATCTTTAAAAATATATACCATATTTTCCCGAAAATAAGGCAGGGTCTTACATTAGTTTTTGCTCCAAAAAACGCATTAGGGCTTATTTTCAGAGGATGTTTTATTTCATAGTCATGTCATTTTCTGGTTGCTGCACGGTGGTGGAGGGTGGGGTTTCACTTAACTAGGGCTTATTTTTGGGGTTGGGCTTATATGACGAGCATCCTGAATAATCCTACTAGGGCTTATTTTCAGATCAGGTTAGGTCTTATTTTCAGGGACATAGGGTATATCTTTGGGTTTTTGCTTTTTCCCTGTTCCTGCAGAATTGAGATTCTAACATTTTAACCGCCTGAGCACAAGATGGGTTCCTTTTTGATTCAAAGGCATGAAGTGTATCATATTTGGGAAGTTTATTTATTCATTTAAATACATTTTTACCTCGCCCCCACCCAACAAAGGGTCTAAAGTGGTTTACATCACTGTAGCAGTTTGCAAGTTTGTTACAGAATGGAAATTTTGACAAACATGGGAAGATGAACAGTATCGGTTTACATAATCCTACCTACATTTGTTTGACTTTTGTAGCAACATAAAGTGCGCCGTTGGTAGCTCAGTCAGTTTGTGAAATAGTACGACAGGAGGATTGTTCCCGGTTCCCCCGCAGATACTGAAAACCGCTGATGATAGAGAATGCTGTGATTACATAGCATGGCCTTAGCCTCCCCCTCATGGCCAGTTCTGGGAACATCATTGTTAGAAATATATGTTTGAGGAATTTTTTTTTAATTTTTAAAATATATTTAATATTTTCACACCATGGATAAATGGCGAATACGGATCTGTCAGATGGGAGGGTTTCCTACTGTATATATGTTTATGAAATCCTAAGAATAAAATAAGGCTTAATAATAATAATAACAACGAGGGCCATTGAGTCAGTTCTGACTAACAGCAATGTGTACACGGGTTTTTTCAGGATAGACCAGTCAAGTTTAGTTGTGTGTAAGTAAATCGTGATTTAAAGGGAACTGGATTGAAATCAAGGCTGCCCCGGATTAAATTCTGTAGCAGGCCCGATGCTGTGCCATTCCTGATGTTTAACGAGTCGGTTTGTCCAGAAAGGGGTCTCTGCTGAGGGGGAATACTGGCATGCTCAGGGATGCCCGCAGTTCGGGAGGCCCAGGGGGAAAAACGCTGTATTTGTCCACAAGAGTGGACAAGAGCAGAACTTCTGAACCTGGGGGGAGTGTGTGTGTCTTACGTTGGCCCTCCTGATCTTCAGGGAGGGTGGCAAATCTTTGCCAATTCCTGTTCCTTTGGAGGAAGGGGGTCTGCTTCAGCTGAGATGGATTTGCCCCCAGGTGTGGGGAGCGCTTAGGGAGGGGGCACAAGGGTCTTTTTGACCCCTTGGTTTGGACCATGCACAGGGCGGTACTCGTTCCCAGCACTAAGCCCACCTTCGTCTGCTCTCCAGCCCTGGAAAGCTAAAATAAGAGGCTGTGTGTATGTTGGGGGCAGGCATTGAGGAGGGTGAGAGAGGAGGAAGTGGGGGGAGAAAAAAGACCCTCTTTTATTCTCCCCCTCCCTTTGCTCTGCCATTGGGTTGGAGCCATCTGTTGCGCACAGTTTGGTCTGTGCCAAGAGGCGAGCCACCATCGATCAGGGCTCTCAGCGGTGTGCAGGCTGTGCTAATTGAACTCAGAACTGTCTTGCTCTGCTTTCCCCCACCCTGCTTTTGTGGAGCCTGGAGACAAGGGGGTGGGGGGGTTGTGTGTGTGTCCTTGGGAAGGGCTGAGGCAGGAGGGAGGCGGATGGCTAGGAGGCTAGGCGGAGACGTATCGCCGCTGGCTGGAAAACCTACCGCGAAATAGCCTGGTTTACTCTTACTAGGGCTTTGTGTGTCTTTTAACGGTATTTATTCATTTGAAATACTTTTATCCCGCCTTTCTCCTTAAAAGGACCCCTCGGAGCTTTTTAGTTAGGGTTTTAGGCAGTGGTCCCGTTTTCCCCAGCCTCGGAATGCTCGTCACTTCCCCTTGGGAGGTCACGGGGCCCGTTGTCGTACTGCTCAAGCAGCTGGGAAGTTTTTCCCCGCTGAGATTCATCCGAAATCAGGCTTCCTGTCGGCTGAGCCCATCAGGATGTGTCCTGCCCTCTGGGAGGATCAAGGACGGAGCTGCACCCCTTCCTCTATCCAGATGGGTGTCCCACCAGTTATGGGCTTGTGGACCCCCTTCTGACTCAGCATCCCTGGTCTCTTCCCCCCCAACCCCTCCCCCAAAGGATCCTTACCCACAGTGGCAAGAAGAAGGCACCGAATCATCTGTTTCTCAGATCAGCCCATTTTGGAAACCAGCTGGTTAAACCTCGAAGCCTGAATTCAATTTCTTCACCATTGATTAGCTGTTTCTAAGTGGCTTCTAACAGCAGCCCTACCGAGGTGGGCTTGATCCGGCTTAATGAGGCTCAGGGGAGCCCTGCCTGTGGAGTCCCCAGAGGCGAGTCGTTGCAGCACCCACCCATTGGGTCTTGGGAAGGTTTCAGGGGGAGGGTGGTGGTGGACGGCTTCCTTCTCCTCTGCCCTGATCCTTCCCCTGACACGAGACGTTTTCTCCCGGTGTGGAAGGGTGCGAATCATGATGGGCTGCCAGTCCCGGTGGCGCTTTCCCTTCTTCGGCTCAAGGAGATACTTTTGTCATTTCCAAAGCAGCTGCAGGCTCAGTGGGGACCCGTTGCCTCCCCTTTTCCACCTGCTGCTGGCTTAGCCGATACTGAGCGCTTACGGAGCGTCCGCTCTGTCACCTCTCTGGACACTTCTAGAAGGATCGCAGGGCGCTATAAAGGCAGCGCGCGCCCCGGCCGTTCGGCAGCCGGCTGGCCACCATGGGGAACACCCACTCGAAGGGTGGCGAGGGGGCCGGCAATGCGGCCCCCTCGGAACTAGTCTTCCGCGGTTCCTTCTCCAACCGGTGGAACGAGAGCGTCTTCTCGGAGAACGAGCTGCTGACTTCGAAAATCCTCTTGGCCCTCCGTCCACGGGCAGAGAGCCCCCGGGCCCTGCGGTCGGGCGGGCTGCCGTTCGGCCCCCGGTTCCTGAGCACCCACTCTCTCTTTGCCTCGGTAGTTTCCTCGCTCAAGGAGCAGAGCCCCCGCGCTGCCTTCCTGGGGTCCGATGGCGCCCCCCCGGGCCTGCCCCGGTCTCTCGGCATGACGATCGTGCAGAGGGGAGCTTCGCCGTCTCCGCTGAGCACTGCCGCCCCATCTGCCTCCACTGCGGCCACTGGTCAGCTCGGGTGAGTAGGGGTCGTCGCCGCCATCTCCGGATCCCACCTTGGGAGAGAATAGGGAGATCCTTTGACAGAGCCCTGGACTGTTTCTCCGTCAGCGTCAGTCTCTCTCTTTCTCTCTCATATTTGCTCTCTTTCTTCTGGAGAGACAAAGGTGTGTGTGTGTTTCTGTATTGAAGGCCCCCCTCTCTCCCTAGACACAGAAAGGGGGTCTCCCTTTCCCGGTCTGAAACCGAGGCTAAGCGTATCAGGGTTTATAGAGCATTAGCTGTGTGGTTGCTTCCCAAAAACTGGCTCTTTGTTGACACCCTGGTTTGATCTTTTGAGTACCGAGAACGGCAGTCGACACGTGGGTCCGTATGTGATCAGGGAGGCCCGAGGGAACCGTGTCTCTTTTTTAAAACATGTCTGGGGCTGCTTTTTTTCTTTCCCGTTTGGCGGTGGGGAAAAGTGTCCCTTCCCGTAGGGGCTTCAGCTGGAGCCCCAGAGGCCCCTGGTAGCAGCACCGGAGGGAGTTGTGGCAAAAACATCGGCTTTTAGTCACCTGTGGAGTTTGTAGCAAGGTTTGTGTGAGGAGCAACCAGCAGATAGGAGGCCGAGAAGGGGAGGGAGGGCAGCTTGGTGGAGGCAGCTGGCCCTGGGTTCAACCCCTGGCCATGTTGCTGCCCCAGCCTCTGCTGGTCCAGATATTGAGGGGGTCTGGCTGCCCCTTCTTGTCGGGCTGCGTCCTCAAAGAGGATTGCTTAGGGGTCGGGGGGTCTCCTAATTAGGTGCCCTCGCTCCCCTCCCCAGGCTTGTATCATGGCTTTGGGGACCATGCCCTTAAGATCTGGAAAGGAGGCTGCTCTGTTTCCTCCCAGGCTCTGCCTGTGTTGAGGCGACGAGGCTTCTCCTGCCATGAACCCAAGATAAGCCTTCAAGGCTCAAGCAAGCCTCCTTCCTTCCCGAAAGCGTGGCTTCCAGTTCACAGGGTGGGTGTGGGTGTGGGTGTTGCAGCCGTGGCTCCATCCGTTTTGGCCCAGTGGAGGAACTGATTCGTCCTATGTTTTCCTCTGGCCCTTCAGGCTTCCTGCGGGAGAGATGGATGAAGCCGACGCGGGTGTCCTCCGGCTCAAACCGCCCTCAGACGATGTCGTCTCCCTGGCCCCCTCGACCACGGAATCCCTCTTCGTGGAGGGTAAGCAGCCGGGGCTGGACTTGTCTGCCTGGAGGGCAGGCCTGTTGCCCGCCGTGCCTTGAGGAAGGGAGCAGAGGTTGTGCGAAAAGGAAGTGCCAGCAGTTTGGGGGGGGGAGCCCGTCCAGCCTTCCGCCGGCGCCAGAGCGGAGTTCAGGTTAAGCAGCAGGAGGAGCCCACCTCCCCTCTCAGCTGTGGCCTGAAAATATCTGCTCCTGATGACTAGGAAATCCTCAGGACCACATTATCAGCCCCTGATGGTGGTGGGGGGAATAAATCCCTCGCCGTGGATTTAGGCTGGCATCCCAGGGCAGCTCCGTGGAGGTCGTATGTGGTCTGAAAAGGTGGTTGTGCCAATCTCGGTGGCTGTGTCAACAAGCGGCTGCCGTTCTCTTTCCAGATGCCCAGTTGGCCTCCTTGCGGAATGAGCTGGAAACGGATGCCCGGGAGTTTGAGGCCCCGTCCTGGAGCCTGGCTGTGGAACCATCCTACGCGAAGAAACAGGAGCGAGAGGTCCTTAAGAGGCAGGACGTGATTTACGGTAAACCCTCACGGCTTGGTTCCAGCAAGCCCGAGGCACTTCCTTTATTTGTTAAACGGACCGCAGCCCTTAAGGGTCTGTGGAAGGACTCTGGTGGGGAGAGAAGCTTGACTTCCTTCGGCGGAGCTCCACAAAATTCTCAGGGGGTGGGTGGGTGGCGGCGGGGCGGCTGCTGGCAATCTCTGAATGAAAAGTTCCCTTTGGGAGCCATGGCTTTTATATCATGAATCTGAGAATGGCAGACCTGGAAGTGGGGGGGACCCTCTGGAGGATTCGAACTCTCAGCTGCCCGCCAGAGACCTAAACTACGGAGCTCCTCCTCTTCCAGAACTGATGCAGACCGAGATGCACCACGTCCGGACGCTGAAGATCATGCTGAAGGTCTACTCCCGAGCCATGCGGGAGGAGCTGCAGTTCGGTCACGCCGCCATCCACCACCTCTTCCCCTGCGTGGACGAGCTGCTGGAGCTGCACGGGGCCTTCCTGGGCCGGCTGAAGGAGCGCCGGAAGGAGGCCCTGGAGGAAGGGAGCGAGCGGAACTACGTCATCCAGAATATCGGGGACCTCCTGGTCCAGCAGGTGGGAGCCGGCGTTGTGGAGGGTGTGTGTGTGTGTGTTTCTCCAGCCTTCTCCCCAGCACAGTGGAGGACTTCCCTCCTTCATTTCCAATGATGACGTTACCAGGACCGGCCATAAGAGGGGGCCAGAGTCCACACTATATATAGCATTTGCTATGAAAACAGCGTTTGCTCTAACCTGTCTTTTTCAGCATCCACTGTAAGGGGGGTGGGCTTGGAACCAATCCCCCACAGATACCGCAGTCCCTCCAAACAGCAAAGACGTAAATGAACCCACACCCTCTTTCCCTGTGTTTTTCGACACAGTTTTCAGGCGAGACAGGAGAGAGGGTGAGGGAAACCTATGGCCTCTTCTGCAGCAGCCATGGGGAGGCCGTGAGCCACTACAAGGAGCTGATGCAGCAAAGCAAGAAGTTCCAAAACTTGATCAAGGTAAAGGGGAGCAAAAGGAAGCGAGAGAATCCAGCAGGGGTGTGTGTGTGTGTCTGTTTTGTTGGGTCTCATCCTGCTCCACCAAGACTCTTAAGCATTTAGCAAAGGACGGCCACGTGGGTGCAGGAGGGGAAGGAAAAGGAGAAAAGAGGGGGGAATGGAATGGTAGCATGTTTTCTTCTGTGGTAAAGCTGGCAAATTTGGAGGGTCGAAGAGTGAAATCTCCTCCTCCCAATGAGCCATGAGCTGTGTTACCCCCTCCTGCGAGAACCCAAATAACGGCTCCGCCCCCCCTTCTCACTATAACCAAAATAAGGAGCATACGGAGGGCCTCCATCTTGATTTAGAGAAGACTGGTGGTTTTTTTGAACATCAGTCTCCAGGTTTTTTTTAAAGGGGAGGGCCTCCCCGGCTTGGTCTCCAGGTGCCCCAGTAATAGGTACGGACTGCTTAGGACAACATGGGCTGTACCCTGAAAAAGTCACTCCTGGGGTGGGAAGCTTCTGTGGTTTTTAGAGCCTGCTTCATGCCTCAGACACAGGGAAATCTGTGGTGATCAGTCATTCTACAGTCCAAGCACCAGGAGATTCTCCTCCTCCTCCTTGGAGAAGACAAAAGAGACCTTAGGTGTGGAAATCAAAACTTGTCCCTCTGTCTGGAGACGAAAACTTTTTTTCCTGGCATCGGAGCAGGTGAAGGAGGACAGGCCTGACTCGTTCCCAGGCTCTGTTTTCCATGGCTGGGAGGGAGCCCTCCTCTTACGCCCCCATGTCTTGTTTCGTAGAGAATCAGCAATTCTTCCATTGTGAGGCGGCTTGGCGTGCAGGAGTGCAACCTCTTGGTCACCCAGCGCATCATGAAGTACCCGGTCTTGGTGGAACGGATCCTGCAGAACACCGAAGGTGTGTGGCTTGGCCGGCTGAGGGGAGGGTCTCTCTTGTTGTTCCTTTGGGGGGGGCTGTGGACCTTTACCGGGTGGCCTTAGGCCCAGGGGGGCGGGCGGTAATACAGGGACTAGAAAGCCATGTCCGGTGGATCATCGACCCCCTCTCCCCTGCAGAAGACAAAACGTGAAAAGGATTTTGACAGAGGATTCCTCTGGGCAGCAATTCTACTCCCCACCCCCGGAATTGCTTTGGGTTCCTTCTGCTCTGGGCCATTCGAAGCACATGTTTTCTGTGCCCCTCGGCAACCCTGCCAGCCTCCCCCAGGCCAAGATACCTTTTTGAGTTTGTGTCACAAATGTAGCCCCAGACCATCAGATCAATCTTTCTCTGAGGATCAAAGAATCAGTCTTTATGTGGCTGCAATAATTCCAGCCCCTACCGGCTTATCAGTTTCTGTAAACTTTATTTATCTGCACTGCTTCTGTGTTTCATATGAATAAAATATTTATAAGTGCATATACTGAAAGATGTATGAAAACTGAAGCTGTGGGCCAACCCTTAAGTCAGACGTACAGGCACAAAGTATCTTTTAAGAATAAAAAAAAAAGAACGACAAATATGTTTTAACAAACACGCCTGATGAAGTGGACTTGTCCACGAAAGCTCATGTTAAAAAAATATAAAAGTTAGTCTTTAAGGTGCCATCACGGTTTTGCTTCCCCCCATTTTTTATTTCTATTTTGCCTTTATCTACTACGTTTTAAGTGACATGATAAGAATGTAAAAGCTTACCGCTTTAAAGTCAGAGAACAGATCTCTACGACCTATCTTTAAAAGCAAAAAAGCAGTATAACTTATTCAAGTTCTCAGAACAAGAATATATGAAGTGAAAAGCATTTCTTCAAAGCCTCACAGTTCTTAAGAATAAAAACAGAGTGAAGAAAACAGCTTGCTTCACCTCTCAGCATATGCTTGCTTGCTTGCTTGCTTGCTTGCTTGCTTGCGCACACGCATGCACACATGCGCGCACACACACACACACCAATTCTCAAGGCTCACCCCAGCCAGCGCGATTAAAATCTATGCAAATGATTCCCGGGATCTTGTGAACGCTTTGCAAACTCAGATTTCCAGGATTTGCTCGCTCATCAATTGAGGCAGTCCAGTTTTGCCGACAGGCTCTGTGGCAGAGCTTGAGGGGGGACGGAAGACAAACCCGGACCTTTGGGATTTGCCCGCCCGGCGTGAAATCGTTTTCTTTCCCTCACGCATGTCGCTTTGCGGTGTCTCCCTTTTCAGCTGGCACCAAAGAGTACGAGGACCTGACCCAGGCCCTGGCGCTCATCAAGGAGGCCATCACGGCCGTGGATGCTAAGGTGGACGAGAGCGAGAAGGGCCAGCGCCTCCGGGAGATCGCCACCAAGATGGAGCTGAAGTCATCGGGCAAGTTCAAGAATGGCCTCGTCTTCCACAAAGAGGACATGCTGCGGCGGCGCCTCCTGGGGGATGGGATGCTGTTCCTGAAAGCCGCCTCGGGGCGCCTGAAAGGTGGGCTTCCCTCCCCCCAAAGCTTTTCTCTCGAGGAGGCCCTGGACTCTGCCAAGCCCCTCGAGAGGTGCCCCCCCGGCCCGGCTTCACCTGGTCTTGTCCAAGCAAGCTGAGAACAGCGGTTTCTTTCCAGATGGTTTTTGGAAAGCTTTGCTGGATCAAATGGTAGAGTTAAAGGGTTGGGTTTGTAAACAAATCCTGTACCGTCCTGGTTCCCCCTCTGTGAGTTGGACACCAGACTTTTAAGAAAAAGATGCTGGCAAACTAGAGCAAGTCTAGAGAAAGGGGAATGAGGGGAGGATCAGGGAAAAGAAAGGCGCACAAAGACACGCACCCCCTTCTGAGGTGGGCGGTTCTGTTTTCGAACAGTCCTTGCCATCTCCTTGCATTCACCTGCACGTCCTTGTTTTTCTGTCGTTCGAATCTCTTCGGTCCTGCCCTGGAGCTGTGGAAAAACAAGCCGATCTTCCTCTCTCTTCCGCAGGATGGCCCCCTCAGTGGCCGGAAGACTTAGGAAGAAACAGAGGAGCTTTTTTAGAGCCCCACGGTGTTTTCCTTCTTTTTCACATTATTCTTTCTCTCTCTTCTCTCTCTTGTTTTCTTCTGGCAGATGTCCTGGCCGTACTGCTGACAGACGTGCTTCTGTTGCTGCAAGAAAAAGACCAGAAGTACATGTTTGCCTCCGTGGTAGGTGGCTGTTCCTCCTGGCAGAGCCTCTGGGGTGGGCGTTCGCTCATCCCGGCAGACCCTGGATTTTTCCGGGCTTGGCGCCTGCCCGGAAAACTTCCACAAGTTCTTGGCCTCCTGGGCTCCCCCTCCTTGTGTGCTTGCTCTGAGTAGATGGCTGTGCAGAAGACAGCACGGCAGAAAGACCCGCTAGATCGCTCAGAGGTTGAGTGCCCCTCTATTACAGTCCCCTCCTCCACCCCGCTTGGCTCGCTCTTGCTGGAAGCAGCCAAACGCTGACAGTCCTGGCGCGGCTCTTCCTTGGCAGGACTCCAAGCCCCCTGTGATCTCTCTGCAAAAGCTGATTGTCCGGGAAGTGGCCAACGAGGAGCGGGCCATGTTCCTGATCAGCGCCTCCTTGAAAGGGCCGGAGATGTATGAGATCCACACCAACTCCAAGGAGGAGAGGAACATTTGGATGGAGCAGATCCGCCGGGCGGTGGAGAGGTGAGTGGATGAAGGGAGGCACGGGACTGTTGTGAGGAGGGCAGTGTGCGCACGCCAGTCCTTTGCCCCTTAAGCGCTTCGTGGAGAAGGTCCCAACCCAAAGGGCTGCAAGGGTGCCTGAGAACGCCGCCTGGAGAGGACGTGGGCCTCCCATGGTGGGACCTCCCTCTGCGGTTTGGCTGTACGATCCATGAAGGGCTTGTGCCGCAACCAGGGAAGGGGTGTTCCCTGAAGCTCACCCTTTGCAGGGGGCCTGTAGGGGGTCCAACGAAAGGCACCCTTTGTAGGATTAGACCGTTCCCCAACTGCTTCCAGAAGACCATGCTGGGCTTTTTTGGAGGCTTCCGAACCCCAGTTGCTTTTTTTCCTGTCGAGCCAAAGGAAGGCTGGGGGGAGAGGGGGGGTCTAGAGAAACAGGTGGGTGGGATGCCATGCGTCCCACTTTGCCCCCCCCCCGTGCTGTAACCAGTGTGCCACTGGCTCCATCACCCCCAGATCAAGCACTGGTAGGGGGTCAGAGAAAGGAAGAATGAAGGGGGGGCTCAGACTTGACCAGTACCCTTCCCCCCCCAAAAAAATGCCTCTGCAGCTGCCCGGACGAGGAGGATGGGATCCTGGCTGACCCCGAGGAGGAGCGGAAGCAGGTGGAAGCCAGAGCGGCGAAGCTGAAGGAGTTCCAAGGTACAACGGCCTTTTCTCTTGGAGGACCAAGGAAGGGGTGAGATAGAGAAGAGGAGGAGGAGCGTTGCCCAAGCTCTCCCCCTTCCGACCAAAGCACACCCCTGCGGGGAAGGCCAGGCTGGAAGAGAAGGGTGGGGTCGCGGGTTTAAAATCTCAGCAGGGCCTCGGGCCTGGAAGTGCCGAACAGAGTTGAGCTCTGCCGTTTCCCCTTCAGTTTGCACCAGGTGGCTTCCCGTAGTGAAGAAAGAGCACTAAAGTACTAAGAACGGATGTAATGGTGGTTTATGTAATACAATAGGATTCTGGTAACCACAGGATCTGTATCCGCTGATTCACTTCTCTGTGGTCTGATTAAAATATAAAAAGAATCCCCCAAATATGTAGGAAGTTATCAGAACTGGCCACAAGAGGGAGCCAGAGACCACGCAATGTACAGTAGATAGAGCCTTCGCTGTTATAATGGTGTTTGCTGTAATCCACATTTTTCTGCTTAGGACCCCAACCCGCACGAATATGGGGGTCCTGCGGTCGTTTCCGTCATACCTGCCTGAACGTCTCTGAGGCTCACCTGCCCTCCTCCCTTCCTCTTGCTCCTCCAGAGCTCCTGAGCACAAAAGACGACCTGATCGTGCAGAGCCTCAACGAGAAGCAGCAGATCTACCTGCAGATGGCGGAGATGAACGGCTTCGAGGACCCCGCCTCCCGTTCCCGGCTCATCGTCCGAGCAGAGTCCCCTGAGAGCCTGCAGGGGGAAGCCCTCTTGAAGCAGGCCGTGAGGGAAGGTGGGTCTCCAAAGGAGGTTTCCCTGGCGGGACAGCCAAGAAGCAGCAACCTGCCTCCTGCAGGGGGAGGGGGGCCCTTGTCCTCTTCTGGGCCCCCCCACTTCTCCTTTGCTCTCCTGCTCTCTGGCTGCTGCTGAACCCGTCTTCTCTCTCCTCCTAGTGGAGAGCCTCCAGAGCCTGATCTTCAACCCCCTGGGCAGCAGCACAAGCTCTCGTCCGGATGATGCCTGCGGATCTGGCCCCCTGAGGCGGGCCGAGACCTTCGGGGGATATGACAGTGCCACGACTGGACCAGCGAAAGGTAAGCCGTGGCTGGTTTTGGAGGCGGGAGCCTGGTCTGGGGAATTGGCAAGGAGAACTCCCTGAAAGGAAAGATCTGGTCGGTGGCCAAGAAAGAAGAGGCTAAAGTGGCCCATTCGCTGCCCAAGCCCTGCAGGGCCTCCAAAAACTGTGTCCGGTGAAGGAGCCCCTCTCCATTCTTCCCGGAATGGGCCAAAACACCTCCTCCAGGAGTGCCGGCCCAAGGAGGAGGGTCAGGGACCAGCCGAGTACCTCTTTGTCCAAAGGACGAACTGCTGAAACCTGATGGTTCATGTCCCTCTCTAATCTGTCGGGACCCTGGCAGCCTTTCTCTGTCCGTGTCCTTTTGGGGCAAACCTCACAGAGGGGCCTCTTCACGCTGAGGGAGGGTTGGGTGGCTCTCCAAGCGCCGACAGCTTCCTCGCTCACCTCTTTTTCAGCCAGCAGCTTCAGGAAGAAGGTCTGTAGCGGGGAACCGCGTCTCCGGGATCGCCGAGGCCTCCTGACCGGCTCGGAACTGCTGCTGCTTCAGGAGCTCCCTTCCGCTGGGGACGAAGGGGGGCGTGGGGTACGTGGTGTCCACCCTCTGCCCCCTTCTTCTCCTCTCCCTCCTTCCTGGCCACTTTGGAGCTGCTCCGCAGCCTGCCTGGGAGAGGGCCGGGAAAGGGGCTCGCTCAGAGGAGCCTCTTCCCGGCGGACCGCGTCGGCTCTGCCCGCCACGCCACCCACGGACATGGGCCGCCATGCGCGCGGACGTTGATGTTCCACGTTCATTAAGAATTTGCTCCAGCCCGGAGTTTCATTCCGGTTTTGCTAGGAAGAAGAGAACCCTTCTGGACAAACCCCTGTTCTCGGGACTGGTATGGACCCCTTGTTCCGTTGGTATTCATCTTGACGCTCCTGAAGTTTCAGCAGAAATACTCAATATTTTAGCACTGGGGCGAGAAATCGGCTTTTTTCCCTCCTCCTTTATTTTCTTTTTTCCTTTGTCGGTTTAGGTAAAAGAAAAAGAAAGCAACCCTGTGTTTTTTCTCTGTCCTTGTTTTTTGGTAGGGTGATAACGGGAAACTAGAGCAGAGCAACAGTTTTCACCCCATTTTGGAGACAGAGATGGAGGTACTGGTGTGTCTTTGTTTCTCTTACGGGTGAGCCTGCCTGCAAAGCCCATTGACGCTCTGGCAGGGGAAGGGAGAGGGCAGGTGGGGGTTCCCACAAGGAAAATAAAACCTGGCGGGGTTGACTCCAGACTGGGGGCGTCAGGCTGGCAGGGTTCATGGTGAGGGTGGCTTTGCCGACCTCTCCCCAACGTGGGTCCCGTGTTTTTTCTCAGCTCGCCCAAAGGATCCAGACCCTCGCGCAGCTGCTCCTCAGCCTCCAGGTAAGCGGCCGCCTCTTCCCCAACCCCGGGAGTGGTTTGGCTTTCAAGGAATGGTTTTTTTCCACCCCTTTTTGGTAGGCAGGAATTTTTTTGGGGGGGTGACGGTGGGTAAGGCAGGATGGAGGCTTGAGCAGAGAAGAGGGAAGCGCCCTCTCGCCAAGGACTGAAAAGCCCTTGGGTTGTGGTCCAGTGAAAAGGATGTGATTGTGAACCATGGTGCTTCCCTTCATGATGTGTCTTCCCGGTCTGCCTCTTGGGGACGGGGTGCCTCCTCCATCCTTCTCGTCCTTTCTTCCCCCAGGCGGTGATGGCCCAGCAGGAGAGCTACGCGGAGACGCAGCGCAGCGCCTTCCTGGACCGGGAGCGACAGTTCCGCCTGCAGTCGACACGCGGCAACCTACTGCTGGAGCAGGAGCGCCAGCGCAACTTCGAGAAGCAGCGGCAGGAGCTGGCCAGCGTCCAGCGGCTGCAGGGGCAGCTGAAGGCTGAACAGCAGCGGTGGGAGCAGGAGCGGGCACGCCGGCGGCGGGAGATGGAGGTGGCCGAGGCCCGGCTGCAGGAGCAGGAGAAGGAGGGCCGCCGGCTGCAGGAGCGCCTGCGGGAGGACCGGGAGGAGCTGGAGCGCCAGCGGGAGGCCTACCAGCACGACCTGGAGCGGCTGCGGGAGGCCCAACGGGCCGTGGAGAAGGAGCGCGAGCGCCTGGAGCACCACCGGAGGATCAAGAAGCAGCACACGGTCTCCGGGACCTTCTCCCCAGAGATGGGCCACGTGAGTGCCCGACACCATCGCCACCACACACACACACGTGGTCCAGCCAAGGCAGGAGGGGAGCCCCCGCCCCGTGGATGCGGTGTCTCTGGAGATCCAGAGACCGAGTGGTTGGGCCGAAATGGAGCAGTGCTCCTGCCTTTCCTTTGGGGCCATTTGGGAGGGGGGTCAAGCAGCCCGGCCCCAAAGCTGCCGAGGCCGGCCGCATCCATCCCGCCACCTTCCAGAGCAGAGAGTCCCAAACTTTGGCTCTACAGAGATTTGGGCTTCACGTCCTTGAACTCAGGAAACTAAGGGAGCCACAGCCGAAGGTCTCAACGTGGGAAAGGCCATGAAGTGCAAAGCGGGTTTTTGCACCCTCTGCGGTGGGTGGGGGTGAGAGGAGCCTAGCTCAGCTCTCGGGAGGAAGCGAGGAGGAAGAGACACCTGAGGTGGTGAAGAGCGGGGTTTAGTTTTCAGGGGTCGGTAAGGGCGAGGGTTTGGCCGAAAGCTGGAGGATCTCCATCCTTCAGTTCGGGTCTCCTTGGGTTCTCCTCCAGCGCTTGGGGGGGGGGGCTGCAGGCCCTCCCCTCCCCACAGGCCCCATCTCAGGAGGCGTAACCCGGACTCTTTTCCTCCCCTCAGGTGCACGCCTTGAGCCACTCGGTCAGCTTCAATGGGGAAGCCCTGGAAGGCGGGGCGCTCTGTGGGCGTGCCAGCGTCGGGGGAAATGAGTACCTGGAGAGGGCCGAGCCAGGCCGCCGGGACAGCGCCGCCCTGGAGCCAGGAGCCCGCCCTGTGCCAGGCCTCAAGAACGAGGTGCCCATCCACCTCCTGAGCGCCACCAACCAGATCCAGAAGCAGGCGGCTGTCCAGCAGCAGATCCCCACCAAGCTGGCCACCTTCACCAAGGGGAGCAAGGAGAAAGGGCCGAAAGGGTCCCGGGGCCTGGCCTCCCACCGGACAGACAGCTCGGGTGAGTGAGTCCCGCTCTCTGCAAGCGGTCCTCCCTTCCATGGCGGTTCGGAGCCTTTCTTCCTCTCCCTCTTCCTGGGACGCTTTTCCTCATCCAAAAGGACCCCCGGTGTCGGCGGCTATTGTCTGCTGGAGGAAAGGCCCCTCCACCCTGGAGCAACCTTGTGGTGCCTCTGGGCCGGGCTCAGTTCTGGTCGAGGGAGAGCAGGAGCAGCAGCCGGTTCCCCAGCATCCGGCCTGCAGGGAGCGCGCTTCCTGGGAGGTTGCCGGCCATGTTTATGCCGTGTGAAGCTCTGCAGGCTTTAAAAGCCCTCCAAGACTTCCTTGGGGTGTTGAGTACCCCTCCCCACTCCCGCTCCCGCTCCGGCTGTGAGTCTTGACCTCCTTTTCTGCTTCCAGCGTCGGGAGACCTGAGGCCGCTCCTCCCTCCCAGGATGGCCGGCAAGGAAGAGGCTCTGGCCCCCGGCCGGCAATCCACCAGCCCCGTCTTTTTGCACAACCAGAGCGTGGCCTTCCCACCAGGTAGGTGCCATCTCTCGGGCAGCCGGCACAGCTGCCTCGCCCGCCTTGGTGTTAACCCTCTCCTCTGCTTCCTCCCTGCAGACCCATCTGGCGCCATGGAGAGCAGCCACCCGGTTGGGGGGCTGGCCCTGCCGCCGCCACTGCCCTCCACCAACCTTTTCAGGCCCAGCAGGGCTTCGAGCCCAGCGCCTGCCCTGGACGACACCGGCAAGGAGGACGTGATTTTTTTCTGACCAGCACCAAGAGACATCCTCTTTTCTTAGCCCGGATCGGGGCCTGGATTCTCTGCCTTGCCCCGGTCGGCTTGGTTGGCAACCGGGCAGGCAGGTGTGTACCCCTGGAAGACTCTTTGGAACAGGCGGGCAAGGGTTTTGGTGCTCTCTGGAGGTGGGGCCCCAAGGCAGCCGCCCGTGTATCAACGGCAGCTGGGCTTCGCCAGTCATTCTCTGCCGGGCGGACAAAGCCGAGCGGGACCTCTCCGGGTTTCTGAGGAGCCCGCCTTGGATGGCTGCAGTTTTCGACCACTTGGGGCCAAAGGGAGGGCCTTGGGTACAGTCCATGCCTCTCACCCCCCCCCCTTGTGGGGCTTGTGCCGGTTTGAGAGGCTGAAGGCTTTGTTGAAAGGGGGCCAGAAGGCGTGGGGCCTGGGGGGGAGTGTCAGCCCTCCCCTCCTCGGCCATTCACTCGCACAAGGTACCTGGCCATCTCCCCACTGGCTGTGCTTCCTCCTCCGGCCAGAGACTGTGACGGCGGGGCCCCGGGCCGGCGGCTGGACTCCATGCTCCCTTTCTGACGAGATGAGACGACATGGCAAGGCACGGCATGGCAGAGCCAGGGGTAGGCCAGAGAACAGGACCCCATCCGGCTACCCGGTCTTCGGCCCTGAGCCACCGGGGAGGGAGGGAAGACCCTCGACACCCAGCCGCCTCCGGAGTTCTCCTCGGTGGTGGCCGCTGCCTTCGGCCCTCAGCATCCGGCGACAGCCTCGCCGCTGGGCTTCTGCTGCCAGTCCGCCCCAATCCAGCGAGAGCCTGCCTGCCTGCGCCGAGGGCTCTCCTGCCTTCCTCCTGTTGCCTTCTCCTTGGCCGCGCCCGAGGGATCTTCCCAGAGGGGTTGATGGCTGGGAAGGCGGCCACCCTCCCTCCCGGCTTCCCGCCGTGCTTTTCTTACAGGGCATAAAAGCAAGAGCTAGGCAGTTGCTTTTGGGGAGAGGATTTTGAACTGCCACACAACGGAGTGGCCCTGGGGTCCCAATTCAAAGGACCCTGCTCTCCTCCGCACTGGCTTATCAAGAGTCACCCCGACGGGTGTCCGAAACCAGCTTCGGCCCTTGCGTCGTGTCTCTGTCAGGCCCGGACTCTTCACCCCAAATATTTGCACACTGGCTTCGGAAAGGGAAACCTACTCCAGGCAGTGGATCCAGGCCTCTGCCGATGTCAACGGCAGCCACGAAGGATTATGGGTTCCGTCTTAATAACAATCGAACAATAAGAAGTGGTTTCTCTCCCCCCCCCAAAAAATCTTTGACCTGGCCAGCCAAGGAGCCCCTCGAACCTTAGGGATAAACTCTCTGCCTCTCTCACCTAGACCGCGATCCTGCCTTTCGGCATTTTTCCCCCTTGCTCTCGTTGTGGGGCTGTGTCTCAGCTAACCATTTGTGCCACGCTCATCCTTGTGTTGCTCTATGGGTACAGAAAAAGAAACCAGAGCACTTTAGAACACGGGAGGGGTGTTTAAAACCAGTTTTCCTGTCTTTTTTTCCTTGTCCTCTGTCCTGTGCGAACCGGAAGGTTTCTCAAGAGAAGGAACCGTCCGGAACACGGCTGGAAGAAGTTCTTCTCCGGCCTCCTCGCAGGGGGAGGGAGGCTTCTCAGCCTTTTCCAAAACCCTTGTCGTACGCTTGGTGTGCCCTGTGGTGGCCTCAGCCCCCGGAGTGGCTTTGGTGGGTTTTCCATGGCCTGTCGGCTTCGCCGCCCCAAAGGGCACATCCTGGCCGGTGCTGAGCAGCCGCCCCTGGTCTCACCAGGGAGGTCCCTCTCCTTATGTTTATTTGTGAAGTCGGTTTTTTCAGTGTTTAAATATTTGTCAGACTATTTATGCACTACTGTAAGGATTGGAAAGGGGGTCTCAGCAACCTGGAGACCATGACAGATTATTAGTATTTTTTTTAAATGCAATCGTTTCTCGAACGCAGGATGATTCAGTGAATTAAATCAACAATAGTGAATCTTAAAAACTGTCCGTCCTCCATTCTTTTGAGCGGGCTTGAATTTTCTTTAACATAGCAAATCCAGCTTTGCGCTGAACAGAGGGGCCCCAAACACACCTCGACCTCTGTCCTCGGTAGGCCCCCCACATGTACAGGAACACCCCCCCAAAAAAAATCGTCCATGATTTGGAAAAGGTTGGGGACCGACCTCTGTCCTCGGTAGGCCCCCCACATCTACAGGAACACCCCCCCCAAAAAAAAATGATCCATGATTTGGAAAAGGTTGGGGAACACTGCCGTAAGGCCAGACCAGGGCCAGGAATGGGAAATTCTCTATTACGTTACTAAATGTGTTTATTACTGGCTCAGATTGTTAAACAGGATGAAGCGCCCCTCAGTCCACTTTGGGGCGCTGACGGGCTGCCGTTCTGGCAGGGAAGGGTGATCAGCGGATACGGGTCCTGCGGATGCCGGGGACCCAACGGCAAAACCCCTCAGGAGGGTGGCAACCTCTCTGAGAGACAACCCTCTCCCAGTGGGCACCGGAATCGCCCCTTCGGAAGCCACCGTCCGTCCCTCTTCCCTGGGGGTCACTCCTCGTGCCCTTCGGTGTCGTAGGTCAGGTAGATCCCGAGGAGGGAGGAGATGCTTCCCAACAGGCCCACCAGCCACGGCGGGAACCGCCCAGCCCACAGCAGCCCCGCGGGCATCCAGTGGACAGCGTTGGCGAGGTCGGCCAGGTTGCTGAGGACCGTCAGTGCTTCCGCCTTGGCCCGGGCCCTTGTCTTCCGCGAGGCGGACCCGCTGGAAGGAAGGAAGGGGAGAAGGATGATATTAAGGTGGTTGGTTGGCAGCTGCCCCCCTTGGGTTGGGGGGAATCTCCTCGCACCGGGGACTTGACTCATGACAGGAACCAACCAACCCAGCCTTTTTTTTTTCCCCTGCTGGGGGGGAAAAAGCTTGTTTTTAATAGGACTCGGTGCCAACAATCTGGGCTCGAATTTCGGACTCGGCCCCAAAGACTTGCCGGCCTCCCTGATTGGAGAGTTTAGGAGGTGTGGGTCATGAATTTCTGATCCCGGCCTGCTCAGCGCCCACCATCCTGCAGGCTGGTGCCAAGGGCAGGGAAAGGTGGCAGGCAGCTGGGAGGGGTTTCCTTTGCCTTTCCTCCCAGGTGTCACTGGTACTGCCTGCACCACTCTGGCCACTTGCCCACCCTTGAGCGCTGGCATCTGACTGGGGGCGTGTGGACGCATGGGGATCGGTTTCCTACCTGGGTGGCTTCCGCAGCTGGCTTCTCAGGCGGGACAAAATTCTCAGGGAGCTGCAAGTTTCGAAAGGGAGGGGGTGTCATGGGGGTGAGTAGAGAGAGCAACCCTGGAGCCCTCGATCGCCCGTCCACCTGGGTCTCCTCACCGTGCGATGCCCAGGAGCAGAGAGACACCCCAGAGGGCTGTGCTGAGTGCCCACCACCGGTCGGCTTCGGCAGGAAGGATCCGGGCCTCGGCGGCCCAGGCCACGTGCTCGCAGGGGTAGTAGAGCTGGTCGGCCAGGTTGATGAGGACTGAAAGCCAGCGCACGGCCGCGTCCTCCTCCTGCGATGGGGGGGAGGAAATGAAGGTGCAGCGTGGGACCCGGGACCCATCAAAATCCTGGCTGCGAAGAGGGACAATGTCTTTGCCTCCTGGAGCTGCTCCCCCCCAACACGGTTTCTGTCCCTGGCACGTGCCATTCGAAAGATCCCGGGCAGCCAAGGAAGGCCTACAGACAGCCGGACTTCTGAAGACCTGGGTCAGCCGCCGGCGGTCAGAGGAAACCCAACCAAGCAAAGTGTACAGCGAACCCCAACGGGAGAGTCTGGTGACCCTCGCATTCTCCTAATGCAGGAGCAAAGAATGGCTCTCCCAGCCCCCCTCCCCCTTCCCGGGGCACCGGGTGACCTCCTGTCCCTGGGGTCTCCCTGCCTCCCCCCTTCCAAAATGCACAGCCTGTCCTGCTGGCTGCTGGAGAGACCATGCGGAAGTTAGTGTCACCGGACTAAAAATAGGAATGTTTGTTTTTTATCACGAGAAAGGGACTCTGCTCCTCATCCATCGGTGCCAAGGCGGGTGGGGTGGGAAGCATGTGCCCGCAAAGGCCCTGGTTTGAACCCAGGCATCGGGCCTTCTCTCTTGGGTTGCATTCTGGGCAGTTTTCCTCTCTGGACGTGTGGCTTCGTTTTGAAATCCCAAATGCCAGGATTAGGAATTCTCCCGTCCAAGAAAAGCGCCTGAGACACCGAGAAACGAGCAGCCCATTCTGGGAGTAAGGACAGCTCCCTCTGTTGGACTTCTGCCCTTCCTGCAGAGGGGTTTTCTTGCTAACTAAGTTTTGCTTTTCCGCAGTAGGACCCCCATATCTGCAGAATCCGTATCAGCTGGTTCAATTATCCATAGTCTGAAGACATTAAAAATATCAAAAGGAAAATTCTAGAAATATATATTTCTAAAGATGAAGTTACCAGAATGGGCCATTAGAGGGAGCCAGATACCAGGTTATGTCTCACAATACTGTTTGCTCGTATTCACATTTTTCAGCATCCACGGGGGCTTGGAACGGATTTCCCCACAGATCTAGGGGTCCTACTGTACAGACGCAGATGAGAGGATGGAGAAATCCAAGTGGGCCGGGTTGGGCACCGGGGCCAAATGCTGCCAACCACTGACCAGGAGGGCTTACGCTTACCTGACGGCCCAGCCCGTACTGGCAGCTGTAGGCGAGCATGGAGAGGTCGTCGAAGAGGCGCAACACTGTCCGGCAGTGGCTCAGCTGGGCAGAGGCCGTCAAAAGGCCATGACCGAGCGGCGACACCCCCTGGCGACTCCTGGCCACCAAGAGGCCCCCGGCCAGCTGGCAGGCGTAAGAGAGGGTGCGCACCTGGCAGTGGGGGGGGGATGGAGGAAGAGAAGAAGGCACAGGGAGGCCACACTGGGGCTTGCTTCCAAACCAATTCTGTTTTTACAAACACTGGAGCTGTATTTATTGGGTTGTTTCTTTTCTTATCTCTAAAGTCCTTACAGTAGGACCGTCTTATCTGCGGGATTTGGATCTGCTGATTCACTTACCACTTTAAAAAGACTTAGGACTTGCTTTTTACAGAATTATTTTTTGCATTACATCTCCCAGAATCCCCCCAGCCACAGGTGGGGATTTCTGAGAGTCGCGGCTCCGAAAAGCATTTTTAAAATAAGTTATACCCCTATTTGAGCTTTTATGCACATCTTTAAGGACTTTAAAAAAAGAAATAACTATTTGGACTACAACTCCCAGAATCCACCAGCCAGGTGGGAGGATTCTGGGAGTTGTAGTCCCCCCAAATTTTTTTCCAGAATTTACACCCACATTTGGACGCTATTTTACCCCATCATGAAGGCGTGATAGCACAGCAGTAAACACCCGACTCCGACGTCCTCCCCATCTGCCTCGGGCGCCAGTGCGCAGGCGCCGCGCTGTTCTAGCCCCTCCATCCAGCACCCCCATGGGCCACGCCCGTGAGGGGCGGGGCATAAGGAAGAACGTGGCCACGCCCCTCCGGCCTGGCG